ACCAAATGTGCCTCGTATTTCGACAATACTATATACCGAAAAACACCGGAAACAAGTATAGTATAGCCCCCGTATTTGGGATAGACATGGTCACACTATGGGACACAATTACTATGACTTGCAAGTCAATAAGGATACGTGACCTTGGACTACTATCGCCTACAAAATGCTCAAATATCAAGACTCTTTCTGAAATGAACAGACGAATTTTAGCTAAAACTGAAATGTGATTTACTGTGCCCCGTAATCAACCCCGACAGAAAATCGGAAATGGCAGTATTTATTTTACTGCCATCACCGTCTTTATCTTACTACTTTCACTGTCTTTATATTACTACTTTCACTGTCTTTACTACTTTCACTGTCTTTATCTTACTACTTTCACTGTCTTTATATTACTACTTTCACTGTCTTTATCTTACTACTTTCACTGTCTTTATATTACTATCCCCACTGTCTTTATATTACTCCGAGATCTGTTAGACATAAACATATATTTTCAGTGTCATCAAAATCGGATAAAAAATTATTGTGACCTCTAGACTGTTCACAAACAATCGGTCCAGAAACCCCCAAAATGGCACCCATCTAGGAAAATGACGACCATTTTGAAAACTTTAATTGGCTAACGGTGTTTTCTTAATAAATAACCCTAAAACGGACACCCATGCAAATATTAGTGCTTGTATTAGATTTTAACATTTATCTGTCCTACTATCTTCCCCAATTTTAACCTTAACGTCTCACCATACGTCTCACCATAAAAGTTGGCTAAAAAAATAATTCGACTGTTTGCATGGACTAGTTCTTATTATAAGTCAGTACAGAACACACTCTACGCAGTGTAACAGCGTAAAAATGAAGTTAAAACTAACTCGAAGAATTTTATATATTTTTTTCATCCAATCTTTTATAACACAATACATTCTTTCTGCTTTTTATTTGAAGCGACAATAAACATTAGGGCCATACAAATTTGAAAGTCTGTTCTTTGAGAACACTTTTTTTAAAAAAAACCCGTCGCCTCACTTATACACTTTAGCTATGCATGTTTAATTCGGCTAATTATATTCTACCAGCCCCCCCCCCCACACACACACACACACGACGTTTGCAAAAAATTTCGCCCCCCCCCCCCGTTAAAAAAATGTCGACCATAAAAAAAATAGATATACATTGCCCGTCAATTTTACAGCACCCCTGAGAACACCCCCCCCCCCCACCTCGTGGCTCTGGGCTAGTTACGGTGCTGTATTCTACAGCAATAATACAGCACTGACTTAATTAACCATGACTATTATCGTTAAATTGTTGCATCTTAAAAACAACAACTAAAAAAAAACAACCCCAGAAAGATGTCGTGCTTGTGTGATTAGTAAAACAATATTAATCCACCGAGGGTTTAATTCATATAGATATCCGGTCTGATGGGGGCATTAAGGACTACATTAAAATGTTGAACTCAGGTAAATAACCCAATAATGAACAATAGCAAAATACATCAAATAAAGTAATTTCATACATTAGTAGTTCATTAAAATTCCTCAACAGGGATCAGTTTGATGTTTTAATTTCCACTGCAGTAATTGCAGTGATACAATAGACCAAATGTGATCAAGAATATTATTTTGGAATATTAGGTATTTTGTCAGATATACAGAACGGGTGTATTAATATTATTTTAATAGTGAGCTTTTATTCTGCTTATAAGGAGGGGCAAGTTGTACAGCATAAAAATAACTATTCAAATGCCGTGTCAGACTTTGACTAAGTTCCTTATGCATGGAAATCAAGTGGACACATTGTTAAGATAGCTATCTGGTTCCATATTTAATTATTTTATGAACAATACATTTTTTTATTTATTTATAAAAAAACCCCACACAACAACAACTGGGAACCAAATAGCTACGTATCTAATGCCTTTTGTGTGTAATCTATTTTATAACAGTCGTTAATTGATTAAAGATGTTGATTCACATTTTAACATAGTCCTGTAAACAATCCAACTGTTTATTGAGAGCACAACTCGTTGATTTAGTGATGTATTTCTCATTACATAAGTTTACTTCATTTGCATATGCCTTTTGTCTTTTGAGTAACTGTAGTGTAAATTATGCGGGATACCATTTTGGGTAAGGTTGTTTTTTTGGTAACTTACCAAATTAAGGCACCTAGTCAAACCGCGCTACGAGCAGGGAACCGTGTTGGCTCTGTGGGTAAGACGCTGGTTCACTAACCAGGAGACCTCGGACTCGCTCCCGGTATTGACCGAGAAACTTTCTCGGGGGTTTTCGGCTTCATTTCCCCTTGTCAGTGGCGGAGGACGGAGGGTTTGACAAGGAACAGTGTCTAGTCGTTTGGATGGTACAAAAAACCGAGGTCCTGTGTTCACATTGACATGCACGTAAAAGAACCCTTGACAATAGGAATTCGAATAAGAGTAGGTTTTGCCCATAGTCCAGTCGGTAGGACGTTAAATCCCATTTCATTTCATTTTTGGTGTTGTTAGTCAAACCACGACACCGCGTTGTGCAGTCTGCATCCTAATTTCAGCCCTATATAATGGAACCTCCCTGTTACTGCTATTCACGTCCCTTTTCCGTGTTATAATTATTTCATGTTTATTACATAAGGTCAATGTTTATTACCATAAGGTCGGCATATATAGATTAGTTAATGGAGTAAACAATAAAACACACTTAGTCTAACATTTTCGTAATTGCTTTTTAGTCTTCACACAATGTCTTTATAGATTATTCATGTTCGAGCCATGAAAAAACATTCAAATGATTGCAGGCATTGCATGAAGTATTTTAAAAGAAAACAACGATTCAGAATTTAAGTCGTCCCGAATGCTCTGTATGGTTACTGAAAGCGTCCATTTAGATCGTCGTGTAGAGATACAACGCGAGAGTCGCCGTTAAGCCAGCACGACGAAAAAGGCGACAATCGGCTGGACTTCAGTTTGTGTACGATCATTCGCCAAAGTTACATACGTGGCCCAAAATTTTTGTCAACTACTTGAACACAATCCAAAGAGGAATGTGTCCGAGTAATAATGTACAATTTTGCCCGACGTATGTAAGTTTGCGTCCAACGACACATATGTCATTTGGAGCATATTTTGGAAAGCACGTGACTTTTATTCAAGTTGACCAAGATAACTGAAACTTTGGGGAATGATCGTACACGGACTAAAGTTTGCTGGACCTTTTTAGAATTTAATAAAATTGTGTGGTTCTGTTTTTTTTTTTCGAAGGGGGGGGGGGGGGCCTGTAATAAATAACAATAATCAGCCAGTTATTGTTTTGAAGACAAATGAACAGTTTTGTTTATTGCATTCAGATGTGATTCATATCGTTATCTTCCAGATAGAACAGTGATTCCCAACCAGTGTGCCTCGAGATCTTCCTAAGTGTGCCACGAAATTTTGAACGGCACACTAAGAAAATTTCTCACTAAAGAAACCAGCTATTTGACTGCAAAAAAATAAGTTCATAGCTGTGATTTGCTTTATTTAGTTTTCATCATTCTATGTGTCTATGATTAGTCTGTGTCTACGGCTGTGCCGTCTATGACTTGCCTTGTTTTTATTTTGTAAAATTTAAATATATTTCATTTATGTTTAGCCAGGTGTGCTGCTATTTTGTCATGTGTTCCAAGGTGTGCTGTTGGCAAAAAAAAGGTTGAGAACCACTGAGATAGAACCTTCTCTTATCTCGATATAGGCTGGGTCGACAAGATGTGAGGTTTCTTATTTAAAGGAGCTAAGTCGCTAATATTTGGGACCTAGAAATTGACACAAATGGGCCGCAACGCATACAATAATGTAATATGAATGTATATAAATTGATTTACATTCAATCGTTTCTGTTTTTACTGTAATTTCTAATTAGTTAGGTTCGGCGAAATACGTCAGTATTCTCAATCGAATTTCAATCTCTAGCGTCTGGTTTTTCCAGTCTACGCTGATAGTATTTATTGGGCATGCTCTCCAGATAAGAATATAGCGTCACCATTTGACATGACTTGTGGAATATGCCTAGCCACGTTTTTCGAGACCCTTATTACAAATAGCGCTGAAACGCATTATGGTACACGATTCGTGTACCAAATGTAAAGTGTTTATTTTGTCTTAAATATTGGATATCAGAAGGTTATCTTTTTCCGGAAGACTACAACATCAATGTTGATTTAAATTGACAAATAATTCGTGTTTTCAATGTCGAAGATTTTTGATCATATTGAGTAAAAGACTTGGCTACTTTAACTGCGGACCAGATTAACTCTAGCAATCATGCACTAACCAATCTACAAGGATGGACTGTGGCAAGTCTCTTTTATGTTGTATTTCTATTTGGCAAAGCATAAGACTGCACAAAAACTAACGCAGAAAAGAACGCCTTAAACAAAACCCAACACAGACAAAGCAAACGCACGACAAACCAAAAACCGTACAGTTAGATACTTTATTAATAAGCTATTCCCGAGGAAAATTAAAAGTGGGAAAAATATAAAGCTTGTCGACAAAACACAATTTCGGACTGAAGGATTAGTTTTTTGATCAGTTCGGAAAACGCCAACAAGCCAAGTAGAGGTTGCCAGATTAAATATATAAAAGAGATAGGTGGGTTTTAACGTCCACGTATACAAACCTAGGACATTTCGGGACTAACTAAACCCCGTCGGCCCTTTCCATGGACATTTACAAATTCAACCAAAAATCCACTAAGCCTTTAAAAGCGAATGGGGTATATTATGGCCATGGTCTGTACCATAGCTAAAACTTTATTAGTGTTCAGTAGAATATAGTTTAATGGATATATAGCATTTTATTCACTATAGTTAATGCATACGCTGGTATAAGGGCTGTCGATCGTCACTAATATTGATAGTTGCCTGCCGTGAAAACTTCGTTTCGTCTGCATCGCTCAAACCATTGATAATTTTGGCGTAACCACAATACATCGTTCCGTGTTATATCTCCAGCATTTCCAATTTTGCATTAACCAACATGGAGACTTGCACTAAAGGTTTTTGTTATGTTTACATTTTGAAGGAATAGAACTGAATAGGCCCATTATTCGATATTGATAATTTAAACTCTGATATTTATAGTAATTATCGAAATGCTTTCTTGACTGTTCAACAGAAACACACAGTTACAAAGACCAGTTAGTGTATATCTTCAATAAAATGATAACAAACAATGAAGTCCAGAATTTAGGAAGCCTAATTGGAATTCTAAAAATGAAATGGCTTATTTCCTTTTTCTGTGTTTGATGAAATTTCGTAAGATGTACTCACTCGGTTAACATGATCTACATAACTAAATTACTAAAAACTTCTTGTGTCATAAATGCATACAGTTGATACGGTCTGCTCCATCACTGATAAAATAGAAATAACACATCATCTCAGATCCAAACAATTCAAAACAAGTGGCCTACTAGTACTACTACTACTACTTGGCCTAGTACTAGACAATATTTTGACTTAAATCAAAAGGTTTAGCTTCTTTAAATACAAATCCTTTTTTTTCTTTATTCAGTAACTAATAAGACTTAGCTAGTCTTAGATAAATCCTGTAAATGTAGCTTGTGATATGGAACCAAATTCGACCAGTTACCAATAAATAGAAATCTCATCTGTTTTTTTTTTGTTTAATGTATGTGGTCAGTGGATCGCTCTTCAGAACAATAAATAAGGTAAAAGTTTTCCATTTCATATTGTTTACATTTCAGTAAAAAAAATAACACATCACAGGCCTTTTTATTACATGGAAGACTGTAAAATTGTTTCCTAATAATCTCTAGAATAAATATGCTAAAACACAACTTTAGTTAGACATATTCTCCTCGGCCAGAACCCCTTCAATGCCTATATGTATGTGTTCTGTTCCTGTTAATTTATATAGGCTAATTATGTAATGACATCTTATTACACTTTAAAGTCTATCCCCTATCAATAATCTCCTTTGAAACACAATTTATAGCGCTACCGTATTACAAACGGCTATGGGCCAACTACAAAATGAATCTGTAGCACAGATACTGTATTTTATACAATTTGTGGAGAAAAACACATGTATAGGATCTACTTTACAATTTTTTGCCAAATACTTCTACAAAATATGACAGTTACACTTACATCTAGTCGATCGCTTTCCCTCATTTACAGTTATGTCTAATGGTGATATTTATTTACATTCAATACATACATGTATATATTTGTACTACATTTGTTCCTCTATATTTGTAAAACTACAGATGATGTTCAGATTACGTAAACAGTTTTTGATGGTGATGCTGGTATTTGGAGCTATACCAGTTTTTTTGATGTTATATTTGGTAAATCAAGAAGGTATGTGTATATCATTCTAAGGGTTGATACACCACTTTAATAATAATAATAATAATATAATATTAATAATTATAATAATAATAGTGATGCATTGTGAGGCATTGCAATATCTAATTAAATATCTTACAAAATAACATTATTTTGCAAGACGTGTGGTACATGTACATATTAATGTTGATGCACCTGCGAGGTTAACAAGGAAAGTATGCCTTGTCGTTTAGATGGTACCCCAAAAACGAGGTTGTGTGTAAAAGAAACCATTTCAGATGGAATTCGAAAAAGAATAACCAGATCAACGCTCTCTTTATTGAAATAAGAAGTCAAGAAGTACCTTGTAAATTTACTTTTATCGCATGTAAACAGATTTATTGTAAAGAAGTTTAGTTAGTATGCAATTCCTGATATTATGAAATGGTTCTTACATGTTACATGAGGTCCAGCCATGGATTTTAAGTTAATTATTAAAAGAACTTGTACAGTTTAACACTTTCAATTTTATTTTTTAGATTCTTCAACATCATTTAATGAAGACAGTTCATTGAGTTTACTAGAGTCAAAATTAGCTGACAGAGTAAGAGTAGTAGAATTTCAAAATGGTCATCTACGAAAACAGCTCAGGTAAGACATTACATTAAACATACATTATGCAAGAGCTAAATCTGCCTATTGCAGCTCTTTCTTTTAGGCCTGAAATGTTATATAAACTATTAATAAGATATTAATAAGACCATAATCAACTCTCTATGTCATCTGATGCTTCTGATTTTCATTAGATTTACATCCGATCTACCGTTCAAAAATCATTGGTGATTAAATGCAAAAATGGATAATCAAGACTTTTTTTTATTTTTGTCACAATGGCATCAATGACAATTGAGGCTACAAGGTTTTTAAAATTAGTATTACTCGGCTTAGACTGAAGGAATTTGACTGAAATTTTCAGAATATTCCCTTTACATTATCTATTATTTAACTGTTATAGTGAGAACTGACAGCTCTTTATCTAATCTTCCATCATGTATCTTTAAGTCTTGTGGCTGCAAATGTTTACTAATGTAAAAAAAAATTAACTGCACTTCACATTATTGTAGAAAGGTTGTATGAGGGTTTTTTTTGGAAGAAACATGCTTTTTAGATTATTCAATAAAGAGATACATGAATACTGTTTATGGATGGTTTAACTTGTGATCTATCAAAGTTTATAACATCATCATAAGCCACAAATTTCTCATATTCAATTCTTCTGTTGGATGTACACTTTTAATGTTGGTTTACACTTGTTTAACATTTTGCTTCATTACTAAGGGCATCAGTGATTTGTTAAGAATCATACTGAAAGCCTCAATGCACCACACAACCAATAATTATGTTCATTACTTAAACAAAATAAGATCTAAATGTGGTCTTTGATAGTAAATCTAAGTAGGAGACCATTTTGGCTTTGATGTTCGTGTAACGGAGAGTTTATAATTCAGTCGTCACATTACAATCTTAAAGAAACAAAATGGCAGCTTGAAATTGATGAGAAATTTAAATGGCCTTACTTCACTTAGGATTGATCAGTTTGAATTTTTTGAACCAATATGCTTGTTGGTAAAACAGTATTTATAATGTACAAAATGTATGGTCTAAAAGTCTATGTTGGTATTTTAGCTCAGAGTAGTATGCCTTTAGTTAACAAAATAGAGAAATAATTCCATTAAAATTCTAATAAATATTTTATTGCAGTATTGCTCAGAATCAGTTATTAAAGTTACAGTTAAGTATGGTAACGGTAAATGATACAGGTACTATGAGTAATAGAACTAAGTTAAGATGTATTAGTACCGAACCTGATGTACCTAAATGTGAGGTAAATATATCAACCTATGCAGGCTCACATTTATTTAGTATTTTTGGGTTTGTATTGTAATTGTTTGACCAGTCATAAGGATGAATCCTGCATCAATTACTGTACTTGCAGATTTATTGTCCTTGTGATTAAAATCCTCTAATCACTCTCTTGGTCATAGATTTTTTTTTTATTAAATTCAATTACTTGAGATTGCTGTTGTAGTTATAAGGGTGAACCCAACTGAAATCCAAACTATCCTTTCAACTATTGCCCTTGTCATCCAAACCTGTAAACAAAATTAAGGATTTTCTTTTAAACTTACTTGGATCCTAGAGAAATTATTTTCCAATCATTATTATGAAAACCTTTATAAGCAGTTGAGTATTTTTATTGCCTGGCAACCTATGTTCAGTTTGTTCGCATCTCTAATGTTTAGAGATATGTTTTGATTTCATCTGATTTGTGTAATGTTTTGTTTTCAGGTTGTCCATGTAGCCATTGTTTGTGCTGGTCATAATTCTACTAGAGATGTTGTCACACTTATTAAAAGTATTCTCTTTCATCGCAAAAATCCTCTTCATTTTCATTTTATATCTGATCCAATGGCCGAGTTGATATTAAAAACATTATTCTACACTTGGAATGTAGCAGAAGGTATGTGCAATAGTCTCTGTAAAAACCTATTTTGTATTTCTAATAACATTTTTTCGAAGAAGATAAAGAGATATGTGGCAGAAGTTTTTGTTAATATTTAAAATTAATGTATTAATTATTAAATAATTAACAAGCCATGACTGCATAGATAAATCCACACAATACATGCTGCATGCCACTCAATATGTATTTTAGTTTGCAGTGTTAAGATTATTTCAATATCAAAATGAATCAGAATTAATGCTTTCAAAGATTTCATTGTCTATTGTATTACAATATCATATCTTTCTTTGTTTTCTAGTGCAATATAGTTTTTATCGTGCTGAAGATATAAAGGTATGTATGATTTTATCTTTAGAAGAGATAATCTATTCTTGGTTATAACAAGAATAAATGTCCCCAAATAATTTGCTAGTTTGATTTTATCATGATCTGACTTTGCATAACTCATGTTTATATTCATTTTTTGAATGCAAGGGTAAATTGAGCTACCTCAAATGAACACTCGCATTCATTACCCATTATTTTTGTTTTAACTGTTGATTGTGCCAGCCAATTAAAGTGGTAAATGTATTACATTATTAACAAATGTCTTGCTTATTAGGTAGCGAGATTGGGATGGCCTAGGGGTCCAGAGTGTCATGCTTCAATCTCTAGCCTGACCAATGGGTGACCTCTGGCTCGAGGTTGTTGTTTCGATCCCTGGTGCTTTCTCAACCTTGTGGGTTTACTCCAGGTATGCCTTTTCCCCCTGCAAAAAATGCCCTTACACATACGTTGAATATACTAAAATAAGATCACATGTCTGGGATAAACCCTACAAATGAACGTTAATTGGGTATTAAAGTACACCTGTTAAAATGTAATTTCTCGATTAATATTACTACAAGAACTAAACAGATGTGAGTTAGTGTGTCCCTAAAGATTGTTGATATGTGTAGAATTTTATGCTCTTTTTATATTCCGTTCCCATATCACACTTGATTTAATTAGACTAAGATAAATGGAGTTGAAACTGCTGTAAATGAAAGAGGTATCTGTACACGGCAGAGTTATATTTTCATTTGATGTTGTATTTATATTTTGTTTTGTATGATTATATTTCAGTCTGATATTTCATGGGTACCAAATCATCATTACTCCGGTATTTTTGGATTAATGAAATTAACTTTACCAAAATTATTACCAAAAGACAGAGATAAGGTAAGATTATAAGTATTATTTTAACTACAGCTATTTAAATAAATAATTTGATGGACTAGACACACCGTAGATTTCTTTTTTGATTTAGAAATAATTAGGGTTACATTCTAAAATCGAGTTGAAGTAAATGAATTTATATTTTATAAAACAGTGAATCTACATTTATTTTAGATTATTTGATACTGCATTGTGTTTGATTCAGTTAGTGTGGGGGTTGGGTGGCCGAATGGTTAAGGTATCATATCTTCTGTCATTGAGTGAAGTGGCATGGTTTAGATTCCAAGCTTGTATGTGACAAAGAGTAGGGTATCTTGTCCAACCTCATGGGTTTTCTACTGGCCCTCCGGTTGCCTCCCACTGCTAAAGTAAAGACCCCTTCTCTCAAGCGAATTAATGAAATATAATTGAACCATATGTTAGTCCCAAAATACTGACCTAGTTTGTGTTGAGTGGACATTAAACCATCTCTCTCTCTCTCTCTCTTGATGTAATTACACACCGATGACAAGTTTAAAGAAATTGAAATGAAATTTTAATGGAGTTTAACGTCCTACTGCTCTGCTCCAACTCAGCTAATGAAGACGGGCACACGCCATGCAGTCTGCCATGAGGAAATTTTGTCCGGGTAGTGGCTCTATGGCCTACTCTTACATGTATGTATATATCGAATTCCAACTTCCAGGGGATCTTTTATGTGCACGCCAATGTATGCACGGGTCCTCGGCTTTAGGTCAGATCCGAACGACTCAAGTTTAAAGAAGTGCAAACCAATTACTAATTGCTTATTCTGTTCACTTTTTCTAATACCCTTTTCTTAACTTTCAGTCTAACCCAGCATTTTAAAATGTAGGTTTCAATATTCAGCTATTTTTTTCTTTGATTTGTATTTTTGTAGGTGATAGTATTAGATACAGATGTAACATTTTCTACAGATATAGCGGAATTATGGAAATTATTTAGAGTTTTAAAAGAAAAACAGGTAACTTAGAATTAACGACTTACTGTTCAGGATTCACCTGGTCTTAATCTTTAGATTTTTCTTGAACAAATAATATATCCTCTCAGGCTTCTGAGGGAAACACTGCCTCTTTCTTTTGAAAGCAAATTTAATAAACAATTTTAAATTGTATTTTGAATTTTTTTTTTAAATTTCAGAATGCAATAGGTCTTGTAGAAAATCAGAGTGATTGGTATTTAGGTAAATTATGGAAAAATCATAGACCATGGCCTGCCTTGGTGAGTTTTATGCATGCAGCATATTCTCATTTTTTAGCAAAAATGTTAATAAAGTAATCACTTTGTGATTGTTCGTAAATATTACATTTTTAAAATTAAATTATTTGATGTTCATTAATTATCTATAGCTACATATTTCTATGATGAGATAAAAAAAAATATTTGCATAGAATTGATCTGTTGAATGTTTTTTTTTCTAGGGTCGAGGTTTTAATACAGGGGTTATTTTATTAGATTTAAATATGTTACGGGATATTAGTTGGATGCAGATGTGGAGATTAATAGCAGAGAAAGAATTAATGACCATGTTAGCTACAGCATTAGCTGATCAGGTACAATTAATATTGATTTAAATAGAATTTACTGTAAATATACTAAAAGAGTTAAACCATGATGAAGATTTTTCTGCAGACCTATAAATCATTAACTTGGCAAATAATTTATAGAGCAATTCCTCAGATGTTCATTGCTCTTAATAGTAATATTCCATGTTCCATATGGTATAATTTAAAAGGAATTTATAGGATTTTTGCAATGATGCTGTTCTATAAAACCTTTGAATTAATCATTTTAATTTTCTAATATTTAATTAATTATAAATACTATTTATTTCAGGATATTTTTAATGCAGTAATTAAACAGCATCCATATTTAGTATTAAAATTACCATGTCAATGGAATGTTCAACTTAGTGATAATACTCGTAGTGAACATTGTTATAATGAAGTCTCAGATTTAAAGGTTAGTTGCTCGATACTCCAGATACTTGTATAAAAGTGGTAAAAAAATATATTTCCTACAATAAGTATGTTGAGTTAACTGTACTACCCTCATACTGCGAAATCATTAGCAAGATATAGCAAAAGAGTGATTGTGTGCAATATACTAATGGGAGGTAACTCTGCTTGTTGGACCTCAGCACAATATTATCTCCCCTTAGACCACATACTTCTGAAACATGAACTTTTTAGCAGTGGAATTTTGCCCAGCCTTTAAAAGTTATATAACTTGCAATATTAACTTTTTATTCAGTTTACATTAGTTTTGAAAACTGTCATTTAATAAATTAGATTATAAATAACTTTGAAGTATGACTGAAGCAAAAATAAATAATATCTAAATAAAACCTGAACATTCAACACAATGCATGTGTTCATGTGTTTAAATTTGACAGGTTGTTTCTAAGACAATGACCAAACAACATCTATGAGTTGCACATTACAGGATTTAGAAGACCTGGGCCCTTATTCACGAAAACTTAAACTAAGATACAATCGAAATTTTAAGAAATACTGCAATTCGATTGGCTGACCAATATGCAAATTGGATATATGCAAATTGATTTTACTGGTCAGCCAATCGAATTGCACTATTTCTTAAAATTTCGATTGTATCTTAGTTTAAGTTTTCGTGAATAAGGGCCCAGTTGATATAGGGTCAATCATCAATTATCCTTTGCAATGTCATTGGTTAAATTTGTTCTCATGCACTCAGGTTGAAATATATTAAATGTTTGTTGGATACAGAGTAATATGAGATCTTCTTATCTCTATAGATGTTTTATTTTATGGTTACATTGATTGCTGATTTTTAATATTCATGTATTCTAAGTCATTATTTGAATAATATCTGAATATTTGGTTCAATACAAACAATCAATTTTGGGGACATTTTAGGTGCATTTTCAGATTTCTTTTTGTCTGTTTATTTTTTAACATGAGTTGTCATTGAAGTAATAGTTAATGTAAATATTTCCTCAAAGAAAAAAAAAACAGTTCCATTTAAATAAATAGACATTGAATAACGAATACTAAAAAGTCAGTTTGAATAATTTTCACCTCATTATAATGTTTAATCTATTGTAGATTATCCACTGGAATTCACCAAGAAAAATGAAAGTAAAGAATAAACATGTGGAGTTTTTTCGGAATATGTATTTAACGTTTTTAGAGTATGATGGTAATTTATTACGTAGAGAATTATTTGGTTGCGGTACAACAAGTTCATCTAATCAAGTTGAAGAACAAGTGAGTATAAGTATGTCACAAATTGTGAACAGTACAGCAGATGTTATTGCATATGGCGAACTTTCGCCCATAAATAACCAATCATGTAACTTGTTTGAAAAAAAAAGATATAAATAAAATATTTTGTGTTTCAGATTAATGCTATAAATGAAGATGATGAGTGTTATGATTTTAGACGCGAACGTGTTATTGTTCATAGAACACACTTATATTATTTAGACTATAATTATCAACCAACCGAGGACGATGTTACATTAGTGGCTCAACTGAGCATGGATCGTGTTCAGATGTTAGAGTTAATTTGTAAGCATTGGGAGGGACCTATTAGTATAGCTCTGTATATATCTGATGCCGAGGCCCAGCAATTCTTACGCTATGCACTGGGTTCAGAAACTCTGATGGCTAGAAAAAATGTTGGCTATCATGTGGTTTATAAAGATGGGGTAAGTAAATCTATTATAAGTTTAAATTTTCATGTCCTTAATTTCATCTAATTTCAAATTATGATGTCGGTTTAACAATGTTTTGTATCATAGCTCCCCACAATACTGTAACAACCAACAAGATCAACCAAAAGCATAAATATTTTATAAAGATTTGGAGGGACAATGCTGACTAATTATGTCAGTGCATTTATTTAAACAGAAAGTTATTGGATTGGCTAGAGGACTACAGGCGTACCGGTACTAGTTCAATCAAAACATTTTTATCTTCAAAATTTGTTTCTAGTTTGTGTTCTTTTGAAAATTTTTGTTTTGTTTTATTGAAAATCAAACAAGTTTAGTTGAATACAACACACTCCCGTTAAATTAAAAACAGTGTTTATCTCAAAAATGTATTTGTTTGTAATAATTACTTTCCATTTCACATTTCAGCAATTTTTTCCTGTAAATTATCTGCGTAATGTGGCCTTAAAACAAGTAACCACGCCTTATGTGTATTTATCTGATATAGACTTTTTACCTATGTATGGTTTATATGAATATTTAAAGAAAGCTGCTCCAATGATGGATCTTAAAGATCAGAAAAAAGTAAGTTTAGTTAAAATTTTCATGTCCATGTCACAGTTACAACATGATCTAATTGAAAACAGTCTTTGATTAATTATAATGTTGGTGTCACAACATTTTGTATCACAACTCCCAACAATGTTTTATTTAGGGTAGTGTGTAAGACTGAAATCTATAGTATAGCTTATTGTTGAAACAGTCTCAGTCACTATTTAACTACAGTGTTCCTAGCTAACTCACAGGACAATCTTTATAGAATTTGTTGTCAAAAGATTGGTTTCTCGAAATATCAAAAATTAAATAGTGGTGTTGATGACAATTTGGATTTATGCACATGAATTTAAGCAATGTTTTTAAGTGATAACTATTCGATATCCTGTTTTTTTACACTAATTGTTGTTTGTCTCTGTGCTAAAACCAAGTTAAATATTATTGTAGGCTTTAGTAGTTCCAGCATTTGAAACACAGAGATATAGATTAACCTATCCTAAATCTAAAGCTGAATTATTATCTATGTTAGATATGGGAACTTTATTTACGTTCAGGTAATATATGGTATATGTTTCTCTAAAATAATGGAGGTGCATCAGTGAAATTGTCTTTTTAACACTTAAGACAGTAATTCATTGCTTACATTACTACAGATATATATTCTATTTGATTAAGGACATACTCTGTTTATTGAGGTATTATTAATCTAAGGAATGTCAACATGCTTGTTGACAGGTAGACTAGACCATTAAACTGTATATGATCTATGACTAGACAAGATGACATTGGTAATCCAAACAATTGCAATGAGATGGTTTATCAAAATGGCAATCTAGCTCACTCTCGCATGAATCTACGGTGCCGATGCTATGATTTTTTAGGTTGCCCCACTTGGTTAACGGTACCGGTACTTGATTTTCATGCAATGAATAGATATTTTGTGTAGAATGAGTTAAAAATTTGTCGGTGAAAAAACGAATGATTTTGGCCAATATTAGCGTACGCTTAAAATTGTGACCCTAATTTTGAAACAAGGAGTGTGAAGGAGTGCCCCTCTAAAATCAAACCCTAAGCATGGTATTTATCTCTTTAAAACATAAAGATATTGTTTATAGTTTATCAATTTTAGAGAATATCTTTAATGAATTGCTCAATGAAAGCTCCTAATCATTATTTATATATTCAGACAATATCTAATTTGCCAGGCTTAATCCATTTTAAACCATTTTTAAACTGATCAGAATTGAAAATCCCCCAAATGATTATCAGCAGGTTTAATGAAAATTTTTATTAAGTACATATACATGATGAGTTTAAATGTAAATAACAATATATCTAGTTGAGCTAATTTGGCATATATCGCACTCTGAAAACAGCATCTAAAAATTTAGCATATATTTTTAATCCTGTTTATTTAGTATTAATAACAATAAAAATAAATGATATATAACTTTCACCACAGGTTTCATGTGTGGGCTCAAGGACATGCTCCAACTAATTTTGCTAAATGGAGAACAGCTACAACACCCTATACTGTAAGTCACATTTTATAATAGAGCCAACAGTGCCCAATGATATTATCATTATCCAGTAAACTAATCGGGGGACAGTACATCAATTAACATCTGTTGTTCAGAAATTCAGGAATGATTGTCTTCGGAATAAGCTAACAGTTAATCTGTAGGATAGAAATGGGGTTTAACATCTGATCACCACAGTACTTCAGTCATTTTGAGACTAACATATGGTTATCTTTTTCTATGGTCACATATAGTACCCAAACAGCAGTGCCTATGGCTACTCTTATCAAATTTTATCTGTGACATGTACGAATTGAGAGTCCAGATCCCTTGCTACTCAACTACCTCAACAGCCCTCCTCCTCATTCAGGCAGTTTAGTAATATGGGTGATTTGTTATCTTGTTGTTAATGAGAAATGTGCTTCCAATTAAAAACAAATTTGTGAAATTAAGCCTGATTATAACAGATATAAAATTATATAAATTTTGATTTGTTATTATATTTTTTGATAAAGGTCAATTGGGAAGCTGATTTTGAACCCTATGTGGTTGTTAGAAGTGATATACCTGAATATGATTTGAGATTTATGGGGTTTGGTTGGAATAAAGTTTCTCATATAATGGAACTTGATGCTCAGGGGTATGTATCATTCATTTAATAGCCAATATTGTCTTAGCTACGTAGAATATTATAATGTCTCACAATCTTGTTTGTGTAAGAAATTTTCTGTATGACAATCTTTTAGATATTGTTTATTGATATTGGAAAAAGTCACTAATATATTTATGTATCTTATTTCAGATATGAATTAGTTGTTCTTCCTAATGCATTTATGATACACATGCCACATGCACCTAGTTTTGATATTGCTAAATTTAGATCGAGTTCATTGTATAGAAGGTAAGTCTAACATAAAATGGTTTTCTCTCTCATGTCAAGATCTTATCTTCCACATTTCTCCATTATCGGTTTCATGCAATATTCGCTTATGAAAATATTAAAGTATGCACTGCAATACGTTTGTTCCCAACCAATATTTTCCCAATTTTACATGCCCACATTTAATCTTCACTATTGTCACTAGTAAGTGAAAAAATTAAGCTAAAAGTTTTAAACATGTGGACATTCCATATAATCTTTAGAAACGAATCTTTATTAGTTTAGATGAACCTAATTCATTGCTTTTTTATTTTAACCTAAGTCAAAGATGTTTAGCACCACTAAAATTATTATTTATACATTGATAAGTTTTTTTAATTGTTTCTTTCAGATGTTTAAAAGTATTAAAAGGAGAATTTCAAAGAGATTTATCTAAAAAATATGGAATCAAAGCTTTAAAATATTTATCTGTAGACTGATTTATATATGTGCCAGCAATATTCCAGCCAAATTATCATCATCATCATCATCATCATCATCATCATAGTTACCTTCATACTCATCATCATTATCACCTTTATAATCAAATTAGCATTATCTTTATGTTAAACAAGGTGTGGATTTTGTGGAATGGAAATAGATAAAACAAAACACAATACTGTTACAAACAACTTGAAATACTAGTGATAAATACATGGACACCACAGATTAAAAAATGTACAAAATCAAATTAATGCATCTGTGTAGTCGGCTTATACCTGTAGGTGTCCATTGTAGTTTTTATACTTTAATTAAATCAGGTTCTGTTTAATAACCATTATCAATGTTATTTATTAGTTAATGGCTTGTTATTAATTAGTTAATAACCATTATTGATGTTTTTAATTAGTTCATATTAATAATAACCATTATTAATGTTATTAATTAGTTAATAACCATTATTAATGTTATTAATGTCTTAATAACCATTATTAATGTTATCAATAAGTTAATAATCATTAAATTGTTATTTATTAGTCAATGGTTTGTTATTAATTATGTAATAACCATTATTGGTGTTATTAATTAGTTAATAAATAATGGTTATTTATTTTTAACTAGTTTGACGTATGGTATCCGAGATTGTTATCTTTTATTGTTAGTATTTTCTTACTAACTGAGGTATTGGGTTCCCCTATTTGCTTTCGCTGCCAAAGACCTGTGGACATTCGCAAAACAATGAAATGAAACAATAAAATACCATATGTTAGTCCCAAAATGGACTAGTTATGACCCGGTATCTATCTCCTGCTAAATGAATTGGTTTTATGCTCATATGTAACTGTTGACCAGGGACCAAAGTCTTTACTGTCTTACTTTATATCTTTTTATTATTTTTTATTTAATAAATCTGTGCATATTCAATTGGTAATGTCCGTAATGTTTTAATTTATAAAATCTAATAGCATAATACATATGATCTGGTCGATTCATTTGTCTAGAATTGTTAACAGATCAGGGATCTAAATGGAATAATGTTTAAAAAAGCCTGTTAATAAAACAATGAACCAGCTAGTATCATAAATCAATCTAACCGGTATTCAGTTCAGTTACAAAGAGTTGATTGTTATCTGTTGAGATTGAGAAGTACATCAACTTGTCACCTACTCCATAATATTCATACCTTTGTGAGAATCAGCCACATGATCACTATTCAACAGGAATTTTGATAATTACAAGTTTTCTGATTATTTATAATTTGTCCAGATTTTAACCATCTAATCACAGTACTGAGCAAATCATCGAAATATAGTTTGTTGAACCCCATTTCTCTCTCCCTCTAGACATTCGGGCATATTGTGTTCTAGTGGGCCCTCAATATCCTTACAATATACAGAATGTCTACAATTTATAAATGTTTAAATATGGTTCTAGTCATCAGACTTCCAATCAAACTGGTAAAATACTTGATGTATATATGTGTGTAGGATATAGATATATTTATTTTGTACATTGTTTTTAGTTGTAAATTTACACATTACCATGCTTATTCTTCAATTTAAATACTTTAAGTTGAAATTACACTAATTATCACAACTTTCAATCTAATGAAAATTAAACCCTACTTTTGTTTCCTTTTCATTTCTGGTTTGTTCTCATTTACGCTACAGTAAGATCTAACAACATCTTTTAAACAAATGACCTGACCTGACCTGACCTTTCATCTAGCCAATGAATAGATGCGTTAACTTGGGTAAGAATGTTTTTAACCAATCGCAGGGACTGTTATTAAATTTATATACGGAATATACAAATAGTTACCTTCACATAGTTTAGGTCAACCTAAGTTAAAACAGGAACAAAATAAGGATTTCATTTGAATTAGAACTGTAGATCTATATGTATTTTTATTGCATGTTAATGACTGTAGATCTGTTTAGTTGTATATGATGTATATATAATTACATGTATATATATGTACTATAAGTAGTATATGATTACAGACCTACAGTATATATATACTGATGTCCAAAAGAAAGTATACACACTAAAAGTATGACTAAGTTTTGTTTATATTAAAAACATTTGATAAAGCATTACTGAGTTTGTCTCTTGCGTCCAAACTCAACATTTCTAAGCAAAATAAAAATGTGAAACAAATTGACATTCTACAGAAATACCGTCTACCATGGAAAAACGACTTTGGTTGATGCAGCACAAAATGCACAGTGTATACTTTCTTTTGGACGTTAGTATATATATATGCCCATATTCATCGAAATTAAAGTAGTCTAATTGAATATTGTCAACCAGTTTTAATGTAGCACCATAACCTGAGATAATACAGATATTCACTGTACTTGCTGAAAATATAACTGATCTTGTCTAGTCTTCCATCTTGATATTTTAGTCAACTGCCACTGGAACTTTATTTTAGGGTGTGATGTAATCATCTAACCAGAACTTGCTAAATGTAATCTGTATTTTAAAAATAATTCATATATACTGAGACAGACAATCATTGTCATCCAATATTGTTTTATTATTATACATTAACCTTTTAAAAATCCACAATTTTTTTCTCTACTCTGTCATCATGTTTATAGTGCTTGTTACAATCAAAAAATGTGACCACACAAATTTTATTTTGATTGATTTTGTTGACATATGAAAACCATTTTTGTATATTTGTTGTGCAATATATATATATATAATTTTGTAAGTAGATGAAAGTGGATGTTATGGTTGAAAATTTGCATTTAAAAAGTATGAAATTGATATGAAAATTGTGTTCAATTATGATGATACTTTTAATTGTTGACATGTTGGATGTTGTAGCTTCTGTCCACCAGTCCATCCACACTTATTTATACTCACACATAGTTTTCGGGAATAGTTAGTATTGAGATAATGATGGAGCGTTTCCAAAATTTGTTTGGTCAACATTTTGAAGAGTATTTTTCAATGTTTTCAAACTTGTATGTGCTGTAGTTTTGTTGCTCTATCCTGTTGCTAAATGAGATAATAAGTCTTATTACAGCAATTGGGTGTCTGAATGGTCTAATGTCTGTTCTCTATACTAATGTCCAAAAGAAAGTATACACACTAAAGATATGACTAAGTTTTGTTTAAATCAACAAAATGTGATAAAACTACACTGAACATGTCTCATGTGTCCTAACTCAAAATTTCTAAGCAAATAAAAGGCAAAACAAATGGACATCGTACCCAAATACCGCATACAATGGAAAAACGACTTTGTTTGAAGCAGGACTAAATGCTCAGTGTATACTTTCTTTTGGACATTAGTATAGATCATAAGGTCTGTCCTTAAGTCAAGTGGCATGGTTTCGATCCCACACAAGGTGTAGGGTCGCATGTCTAACCTTGAGGGTTTTCTCTGGGTTCTCCAGTTTCCTCCTGCTGCTAAATAGACATTGCACAAGCAAATTACTGAAATACAATTTATCATATGTTAGTCCCAGAATGACCTATTACAACGCAAATGACAAATACATTTTTACTGTATATGGTAAGAGTTAGAAAAGTGATGAATTATAAATAGATATAGTTAATATATAACAATATGTATTTAAATAAATTTGATGAAATAGCATTGAACAACGAATTACCTAGTCTTTTCCTCAATAACTGAACCACAATGGTTTATAATTTATAGAATGTATAAAACAAAAGTAATTTTATAATGATATTCAGACCTGAAAATCAAATATGATTTTTCTGTGTCTTGAAATAAATGGCTGAATTTAAAACTATTTATGATATTCTTTTTTAGTTTTCATATATCCATGTTATTGATGCAGTGGTAAGAAACATTATCAGCTCATTGACCATTGCTACATGGCCGAATGATCTAATGCATGCGCTTTAGATCATAAAGTTTATCATCGAGTCAAGTGGTGTGGTTTCGATTCCCTGTAGTGTCACCTGTTGAAGCAACTGTGTGTCCCGCAATGACCTAGTTAAATCCCATCTCCCTCTCTCTCTCCCATTGCTGCATTTAGATAGCAATTATAAGTGATTGTTTTCATTGATGGTTAAAGAGCTGATAATGCCTGAACTTAATTGTTCATTGGTCAACAACCATGGTTAAATACAGGTGAAGTCAATGTAATTTATAAATTTAGACATATTGTATAAAGATTGCTACATAGTTACGATTTCAATCCATAGCATCAAAGAGAGAAAAATTATGTTGTAATGTGGTCATATTATATCATAACACCCTTTCGTCAGTCATTCACAACTGCTTGTGGACACTCAAGTTATTATTTGATTGTTACTCTTGATCCTATTTAGTGTCCTTTAAATGCCCGTTTTATTACCCACAAAGAATAAATATATGACAGCCTTTGTGGACTGCACGGACAACTTAGCTATGGTGGGCGTATGTTTCATAGACTATCTAACATTGGTTTGTCTATTTCAAAATACTCATATTCTTGAATCCTCCCCCAACCATTAATTTGTCAGCATTCTTGTTAAACCATCATCACTCATAAGCAATCAGTCTTGGGTAACTCTTCAAAATTCTTCTGCTTAATTTAGTAGAACAAATGCATAATGCAGTCATTCATAATTGCAAAAATGTGAATAGTCAAGCATTTATTACATGTATAAAAAATAATGGTATTTAGATGTCCTTTATATTTTACTGTTATTTATTGTATATACACCTATATTATTATATGTACTATGTCCATATTTGTTTTATAATAACTTGACCATTAAACCAGCCAAAACTTACTTCTATCTATTGAATAAAATTATGTTTTTAAAAACTCATTTTGTTATTTTCCTCACTAAATAAGGTTGCAGTGGTGATGACATCCGAATCAGAATGTCCTGTTTTCGAATTATGATGGGGGCTGAGAAGATCCATCAAGATTCTTTGAGGTTCTCCCTTTCCTTGGGCCGATGACTTTTGGGCTGACATACAAAAGTGTGTATAGTCAAAAGCGATGTCCTGTGTACAAATTTGTTGTGTACTTAAAAGATCCCACTGTCTGGGCACAATTCTCCCACTTACATTACCATTATGTTAGCTTCAAACGGTAAAATTTTGACCAGAATAAAACCTTTTACTGAACAGCTAATTCAAATAAAAAAAGTTAAACTGATGTAGCCTAATTTTAGAAGAATTATAATTTATAGGGTAACCCAACCAAAACAGTTTTTGGATGTATAAATTTGATACAATATACATCTCTCTACATTTAAAATTCTATGTCTGCAAACAGAGCCAATGTTAAACAGTTCAGAAAGTGAAAAAAATTAGAAAACAAACATAAGTAAGTAGAATGTAATGCACAGTGTATGTTGAAATAGTCTAATATCTGTATCCATCTAATTGAAACTGAATGTAGTTTTTCCCATTAATACTAACACATTACCTCATCAACTTAATTCTATACCTATTTCAAAGGCGTGGTTCCCCCTGGTCAGTGATGCGAGACAGAGGGCCTGACAAGGACAGCTGTCTAGTCATTTGGATGGGATGAAAAACTGAGGTCCCGTGTGCACGTAAAAGATCCCTTGACAGTTGGATTTCGATATAAGAGTAGGCCATAGTGCCGCTGTCCGGGCAAAATTTCCCTCATGGCACACTGTATGGCGTATGCCCGTCTTCATTAGGATGGGACAAAAAACCGAGGTCCAGTGTACACATTGGCATGCACGTAAAAGATCCCTTGACAGTTGGAATTCGATATAAGAGTAGGCCATAGTGCCACTGTCCGGGCCCAATTTCCCTCATGGCACACTGTATGGCGTATGTCCGTCTTCATTAGCCCAGTTTGGAGCAGAACAGTAGGACGTTAAATCCCATTCCATTTCATTTTTCCTAATTCAAAGAGGTCTTGCCCCAACTGTGTGTCTTTTGGACATCAATATTCACAACAAAACATGGTTGTTTGGTTTCAACAATTTTTAATAATCAAAAATTTTACTATTGATATCATTTATTAAAATTGGTCAAATTTCAAAATTTTTATCTGAAATTCTATTGCACATAATGGTCTTTTCAAAAATTATTTTATTATCTTAACTTTCAGGTTACAAATAATTGGATTACTGTTGATTCGTCTTCATAAGGTAACCAGGAAACCAGATATTTATCTTCACATAAATTGACTGACAACAAGAAACATAACATAAATATACCTTGATTTCAGTTCATCCTAATGAAGGGGCAATGCTGGGAAATTGCCTGGGGACCCCACGTCAATAGTGGGCCCATTCTAACCAATGTATGTTGTAACTTGCTGTACAGCAAGTTTTTTAATATTCAAACAAGTCTGATTTTGTTGGAAGTACCAATATAATAAATATATGTTTAAATTCATCAATCATTTACATTTTTATTCCTGTGAGTAGTTGTGTATAAATTACATGCATATAAAATGTATAGATATTACTATAATGAAAATATACATAGGGTACATTATATACTAGTAATAATAAATGTATATTACTTTTCTATATGACATAATTTATAATGACCGTAGTATGTAGGTTTAAAGGCACAATATTCCAGATTAAGAGGCAAATATGTTCCAACTATTACTAAAATTGATCCTAAGTAAGTTGTGGCTATCTAGGGGGGTTGGATGGCCGAATGGTTAGCACGTGCGTGCTGTATCATACGACCTGTCATTGAGTCAACTGGCGTGGTTTCGAATCCCCAGTTGTACGTGACAAGGAGTGGGGTCGCCTGTCCAACCTCGTGGGTTTTCTCCGGGTCCTCCGGTTTCCTCCCACTGCTAAAGACCCCTACGCGCAAGCGAATTATTGAAATAAAATTAAAACCATATGTTAGTCTGAAATGACCTAGTTTGTGTTGAGTGGACGTTAAACCTCATTTCTCTCTCTCTCTCTGTGGCTATCTAAAGTTCACATTAGTTTCTACCGATTTTGTGCTGCCATTTTGTCTCTCTCTAAGATTGCTAGTCAACTGGTGAATGATATTTCACTTCTATCCACAAACGTGGAGCTCAAGATGGCATCTAATCTACTTCTTACAATCTAAAAAAAACTTTTTGGAAGGCAGAATGTAGTTGAGGTAGAATGTTAAAACTTGGATGTAGATATTCATTAGGGGAAAATATAAAATTTGATTTGTCCATGCTATGGAACATGATAAGTGGGAGGATGAAACTTGATGAATAGTTTCATTGCATCAATACAGAGTTTGTATATGAACATTTTCCTGTAGATAAATGTGAAAGTAATTAATAAGTGTCATAGGTGGGGGACATGCTGGGGTTTTTTAAAGAGGGAAATTGATCACCGGCCTTTTGGTACATTGGGGCTTTAAAAATCAAAATTTGTAGTTATATTAAAATATCTATATAATACATAACAGAAACAAGATAATAACAATAAATATAGTTGGTAATTTTTGCCTTCTTTTACCAAACTTTAAGTAAAAATAGAGGGAGCAGACATTCCTATTGTGCAATTCAATAAATGATTATCAAATAATTATACATTTTTTGTGTTCTAAAACTATACAAAGATAATTGAAAATAGCAAAGTTGCTTCTGATATGTTTCTATGATATAAAAACTAGGTCTTTACGAGCCTATATATAATAAAAGCTTCTTTTGTAATGTTGCCTTTATTAGACCAGTCTTTACCGTGGGGGTCCACCCACACTCCACATCTAATATTTGATGCTTTTACCACAAAATGCATAATTCTTATGAAATCTCCCACATTCTGCCAGACTAAAAGCAAATATCATTTCTTTATTAGAAATTTGTCTGTATGTGACTGTATTGAAAATTTCTCAAGATATGAATTGAAACTACAGCTGTGCGTATATGTATATGCGATTTCCAAAAGATTGGTCTGTTCAACCAACAATATCTTCTAAACTATATAACATATTATAGATGTTTTAATAATTTTATATGAAATAGAAACCATTTATCCAGTTAAATGTAAAAAACAAACTATTTGTGTGATTTGTTACAAATATAGGTAAACAAGTGGTGCAGCCTTTTTCTAAACTAAATCCATAATGTCCTGATGCTCCATTTTAAGCAATAGGAATCATCTGCAAACTACGATATTATGAAAGGTAAATCTCTATTAGGTAGGAATATCAGTCCAATTATGGTTCAGTTCCATTCAGTATTTACAAAGATATATCAATTGAAATTTCATCGATCTATGCTAATTTTGTTTTCTAAATCAATTGTTAAATAATCAATCTAAGTACATAATAGCGTGGATTAAGCCGTGAGAAACTTTACATTTTATCCTCAAAAGCCAATGGCGCATTGGGACTTTAATAATTTGTGTTAAATAATACTTTGTATGAGGACAAAATAAGAATACTTAAAACATAAGCATTTTGGAGAAAAAGACGATAAACTTTAAAAATCTGTGTACACAAGTCAAAAAGGCAAATTAAACGTCTAGATAACTTGTCTGCGATATCACCTCGGTGGAAGCGGACGTAAAATACAACTAACTCATCATCATCATCGTCTAGATAACACAACTTCTTATCTAAACAAAACTTCTTATCTTTATAGCAAAATGTAAAATGAAAAGACTGTGTCTCTCTTGCGTAGATGTGGTTGATCTTATTTTGTAAGAAAATCTAATATAATAAACCTTGTTTTTTTTATCTGCACAAGTGGAAATTGCACTGTCATTGAAAATGTCTCCTCCCTTGCATTGTACACATACAGTAGAATCTGCATTAAGCAGCCACCCAAGGGAATTTTCAAGACTGACCCCTGAACGGGAGTGGCCTCTTAATAAAATCTCGGTGCTTTTTGTGCTGACATCAATTAAATATTACGCTTGGATGCATTGGAAGCAAACATCAATACTTGCATCGGTAAATTTGACGGTCGCTGAATCTTGCACCGAACGAAAATTCTTTGCTCAAATCTCGGACGTAACTTCTGTAAACTTGTCATTTTGTACCAACCTTCGATACTACTGTCTACCATTGTGATGCATTTGATAATGTTTATCCATATTGGGAAGAAAATCGATGAATTAATTTTATTTTATCAAAAAAGCACATGAACAAAAATCATTTCTTTTTACCTGATCAGTGGGGGTCCAGTTAATTAACTACTACTCACGGGATTAGCGTAGGTGTTATGAAGAACGACAAGTTGGTGTCATTCAACGATGGCCGTTGAATGGGCGATGTTTTGTTAAATTTATTAGTAAAATAATGACCGCTGGCCGTGTTAGAGGAGTGACCGTTGAATAAAGAGATGAAACAATGGAATTTTTAAGGGGGGAATTTATCGTGACGGCTTACAAGGAGATGTCGCTGAATAGGAGTGGCTGCTCATACAGATTCTACTGTAATAATAATCACATGTTAGTCTTAAATAAATGAGACTATAAAAAAGGCTATAAATCGAATGCTGTTAAAGATATGTTATCTTAGATTTACATAAAGAGCTAGCCATTCTCGCTATAACAGTTCTAAAATAGATAATGTAAAATGAATAATTTTCAAATTTCATTCAAATTACTATATTGTGAGTGAAGGTATTAGCCTTTGAATGTTTGACAAGACGTACTGGTTGTTCGAAGCTAAGTCTCGCTCCTCCATTTTTAAATTAAATCGAAATATGACTGAACCGTTCTAAATTAAATCGAAATATGACTGAACCGTTCTAATCTACTTGATATCGGAGATATCCGATGGCATCGAGAGTTGATTATGGTCTTGTTTTGTTAATAAATGTCTAATTAATAGTTTATATAACATTTTAGGCCTAAAGGAAGACCTGCAACAGGCAGATTTAGCTCTTGTATAATGTATGGTTAAACAGCTCCACTATTTGTGAGATCATAATAATTATAATGACTAGTTCTTGTTATAAACAACAGAAATTGTTGTTTATATTTATAATCATTCCAATACAAACATGCTGAATATTACATTCTCTCTCGTAGGATCTAACATAATGGACACTCTTGTTTAAAAACACAAAATTTGTGGAAAGCGTGACCTGAAAAAAATTGAAAATTTTAAACAATGAAATGTAACCAAATTTACTTTTTGCAGAAAAAATCATGGATATGATCAAGGAGTCAAATATTACAGAGGTCATGATGTTTTACTGATCAGAGATCTCAAATGTTTAAATTTGCGAAGGTGGGCAGAATTTTAAAAAAGTTCCCCCAAAAATACCTTTCCAAACCTTTTAAAGTGTTCTTACATCTATAACTTAAATAATATTTATTCCTTTCAATCACAACCCTCCTGGAGTCAGTTGGCTGAATTTCATTTTTGTCAGATGTTGGGTTACAAGCAACAAGCAAAAGACATGTGTCAATCAAAAAGACCTTACACCCTTCTTTGCTAAAATCATCATCATGGTTTAGGATATTCAAAAGCGTACAGATAGATCACTGAATGATCAAATTGTGATCTAGAAGTGATTTCCTCATATTGTGCTTATTGTGGAGTAGTTATAACAAGATTGCCATTCAGTCGGTTCTGAAACAAAAGCTCTGCTATACGATCTACTTACCACAATTATATATTATAACACCAGGTTCCATGTGAGATACAGTACAAGTTAACCTTTGACCACAACACGGACAATCTCTATAATAAACAAAAATTAAATTTATTATTTTTTTCAAAACTTACACCTACTGTTAGTAGATGTTCTTGTCTCAAGTACAAAAGATATTTATTTTAAAGAATTAGATAACACACCTTCGTATATCTGATTGTATACCCCAATGACATTCAGCATCTTCTAGACCAGGTACAATGGTGGTCCCAGCAGACGACAATCTGGAAAACTATAGTAAAACATATATCAATATCTGAAAGAGTCAGCGGTCACACTATGGCCATACAAAAAAAATATTCTGGTTCTCTCTCAGACAATCCTTACCAAAAATAAGATGTGGGAGGTTTTTTTTTTAATTTTGTATTTTTATTTTGTCAAAGGATCAGTACTGGGCTAAATGACTTCTCATAAACATTGCATTTCAACACAAGGCACTACATTTATCTCATCATGTTATTTAAACAGGGATGTGTGATTATCCAGTATCATTTATGATTGTCATTTATCAGGGTTGTGTACTTGATATACGAGCCTATGTCACAATTCAGGATTCATTCAAATATTTGTTTAGAAGCTACTCCCTGTAACAGGGTAAAACATTTATGTGTGTTATAATTTAAAATAAAAACAGGTAAAGCAGGATTATCGGAGAACCAAAATATTTTTTTATATGGCCTAATATTAAATTACTTAAATAGAAATAAGAAATTTCAATTGATATTAAAATATAAACATTATTGTTCTCACAGATGAATTTTGGGAAAGTTCACCTTATTGTTTGGAAAAAGAAGCATTCCTGTGTGGATCTGATGGGCTATATTCCCAAAATCGTAAGTCGATTAAAAACAAGATTTGTTACACAGCTTAGTGAAATAGAAGATCCTGGGGTTTCTGTAAAAGGTTCTTGCTAAAAAGATGCATAAGCATTTTGTATCAATTTTTATTTTGCTTCATCTAATTTTTGTCTGTCTTGAAAAGTTGAAAAAATACAATGATACCGCCTTATATAAGTGAAATAGATATATTATATAAAAAAAAACTTAAATGAAAGTTATACTTACATGTGTTTGGTATGTAGAAGAATCCGACTCTGTAGAAGATAGATTACTATATTTCTCTAAAGACACAGCATAATGGAGCTACAAACAATAAAAAATGATCATCATTCAATTACTTAATACATGGGGTATTAGAATACGAGAGAGAGAGAGAGAAATGGGGTTTAACGTCCACTCGACACAAACTAGGTCATTTTGGGACTAACATATGGTTTAATTTTATTTCAACAATTCGCTTGCGCATAGGGGTCTTTAGCAGTGGGAGGAAACCGGAGCACCCGGAGAAAACCCACGAGGTTGGACAGGCGACCCTACTCCTTGTCACGTACAACCGGGGATTCGAAACCACGCCAGTCGACTCAATGACAGACTTCATGATACAGCGCGCGCACGCTAACCATTCAGCCATCCAACCCCCCGTATTAGAATACAAAGGTATAACGATGACATATGTTATGATGTATATACATGTAGTATCCGCTACGGATTAATCTGTTTTTAGAATCTGAAGGCTTTTTTCTGCCCAACCTCCATACAAGTTAATTCAAATTCTTTCACAAGTCTTCTAATTTCATGGTCAGAGTAAGCAGAGAACGCTTACAGCTGGTCCCCGGATCCATTTACTGGATTTGATATTTTTGTTTATTGCTTGTAGTATGTGTGTAGTTCAAGTCTTGTCTGTAAGTTTATCATTTTGGTTTTGTCTTCCAGCACTTACTATTATATCTACACAATATTTACAGATTTCATGAAATCAGGTTTATACTATCTATGTAATATTAAATACCTGTGGCGCTACATGGTTGGGCTTTTTGGACCAAAGATATGTATTAATTTTCTCCAACATATTGTGCATCACATGACTGAAACACACAGATTATAAAGTTAGATATTTAGTCATTTTTTTATATTCAGTGTTAATGTTTTATCTAATTTATTTAGTAATTTAAGTAAAGTAAAGTAAACTTCTTAATTTTTTTAAACTAACATTTAATCGCACAGAATTCATCTCATGACTGATGTTATTGTAACCTATTTAGCTTGAAACAACAGTTGCCACTTTTCTGAAGCATGAAAACTCAAGAACTTGATCAGCAAAAGAAAACTATCACCATTCAATAATTGAAACAGCTGGTGATTGAAGTAGTGTGGAAGTAAAGGGACACTAAGGAACACCAGCAGGCCGTTCTATATATTTCCGGATGTAAATTATGTCTACCAACCTTTGTTGTTTTTGAGTAATGGCCTTCAAAATACATTTTTGGTAGAAATCATTGGATAATGTACCATCTTGTAGATCTAGGTCTTGCAACATTGATAATGCCATCTGAGAACCCAGATTATCCACTAATAGAAAAGCCAGATTTTCCCAAGTAAGGGTCCATTTAAAATCTGGAACTGGTGGTTTAGGTTTTTCTTTTGTCATAGATTTAAACTCATTTAACAAAAATCCCCATTCATCAAAATCTTGTGGACAGTAACCTATAAAAATAAATTATATTTCAAAATGTTTATGATACTGTTTTGTTCACCATGGCAACCATCTTGTCCTCAAGATAATAGTCTGATTAAAATACAGATTAAAAGTTTTGTTTGTAACCGTGGAGGGTAGTTAGGGGAGGGGGGTAAACTTTTGATGTCAGGATAGGTCAACTTTGACTGAATTACATAAACTATAAACTCTGCATACCTCCCTAAAATCTCGATTAAACAGACTATTTCATTGGTTAATCTTTTACATCAAAGGGAAGGCAATTTATTTAAAAATCATTCCAGATACCACATTTGTCAAAATTATATCAACAGAAATTTGAACTGTACAAATGAAAACGATTAGTGTTTTAATCAGATTTTAAAAATGATATCATACAGAAATACATTCTCAGGATATACTCAAAACAAACAGTTGATGATATTAATTGAGGAAATGATCTCTCTATCTTGTGGAGTTTTAGGGGGTACTTGATTGTGAATCCAGAATATTTCGAATTGATAACATTACAATGGAGTGACTTAGAATTCAGTCCTGTCGCAGGTCTGCCAATCCTGATAACTGTTGAAGTGTTAGTACAATATAATCAAATATATTGAATAAGTTTCAGCTGTCATTGTTGGTAGAAAGATTTTCTTGCTAAGACATTGCTTGCTTAGTAGTGTAAATTCTTTTTAACTCAATTTTCACTATTCCTGGGAGTGAGAGAATTCAAAAATAGAATAATCAATCGGCTAAACCTATGGTAATTTGTCTATAGGTGTTTTTAGGTGAAAGCTATTTGTTACTTACCATATGGATGTAAAGATGAAAGTAAATCTTTATCTCCCAACTGACAAATTAATATTAATATATCTTTCCATTCCTTTCTCTTCTCTAATAACTTAATACATCCAAACCAATATCTATAGTAGACCAATACAAGCACATTAATATACTTTTAAATGTTATGAATTAAGAATTGAAATTACAGAGAGTTAAGCACATTAATATACTTTTAAATGTTATGAAATAAGAATGGAAATTACAGACAGTTATGTCACTGAGGGTTAGAAGGAATTGGAGTGCAACATCCCATCAACACAAATGGGTTATTTTGGAACTAACATATTGTTTATTCTTTATTTCAAAAATTAAATTTCAAGAACTCGGAGAAAACCCTATAATAGGCAGGATTACCCACTCATTGTCAGGAACAATCATGGGGTCACTTTTATTTAAATTATTAGTTTGCTTGTATTGGGTCAATAGTGGGAGGAAACTGGAAAACCTAGAGAAAACAGGTAGATGAATCTACTTCTGGTCACGTACAAGACTGGTACCAAAACCACAAACACTTGACTTAATGACAGACCTTATGATCTCAAGTACCCATATTAGACCAATCCTTTGATGACCTTGAACCCAATATCATTAAGAAGAACTTACTGAATAAAATCGTTCGTCTACTTTACGAAGACACATACACATACATAAGGCACCTGTCACAGATTTTGACAAGTACAAATCATCACACAACTTAAAGCGAGAATTTCATATTTTCTAAGAAAGTCAAAACATAATTATTTCTATGTCTTTTGCTCAATAGGTTGTCAACTCACTATTATACGATCATTGGTATCATTCTCAAAATTAAAAATCATTCACCCCGGAAATAATAACACAATTACCTCCCTTGTTTTTCTATTCCACCCCATGGAATAGTTATCTTCAAATGTTTGAATTTGAGGTTGAAAATGATATTTTTGCCAATTTCTCAACTGGCAATAGTGAATTATAGGATTAATAGGATTATTCTTTAACAAGGTAGGAATGTTTATAGATACCATCTATTTTAAGGCTTTATTTTAGTACAAATTGTCCAGGGATGTGTATATAACATTATTATCCTCCAAGAGTCAGACTGATATATTATTACCCTGATTATATCTCTATTCTGTAGTGCTGGATTACCACAAAGTCTTGTTAGAATTTAGATTAATTTACCTACCCATGTTTTTTACAAACTTTTAAAGCTTGTACTTCTTCTTCTGCTTTGATCAAATTAAGTACATTATTTATCATCTTTTGATGTGGCCATTTAATTAGATGGCTTCCTGGACAAGGACTATACCAAAAAAAAGATAAAGTTAACAAATTCCTATAAACTATACACTTGTAACAAAATAAAATTGTGGATTTAATTAAGTTTAACCCTTTAGCACTTGGTACATGTAAATATTGACCACCAGTTCCTTAAAGACAATAATAGAAAAGTGATATATTTCACACCAGAATATTCCTAGACAGCCCAAAACTACTGTTCAATTATATCAGTTTGGGTCAGTTTGAGGAGCACTAGTTTAGGCAATCCAAAGGGTTAATGTGTTAATTTGCTTTGTGAAGTGTGTAGCTGTCTACATTTAAAAGCTTTCTATCTGTAGACTTAATTTTTGAACAAAAAAAAATCCACATATAAAACTCAATGAAACCGATCATTTTATTTTTAAACCAGATCAAAGAGGAGTGGCTATTTCAATCTACATCGCATAATGTGATATCAATATCATGATATTTTGGACATTGTAAGCTAGACATGGAAATGAAATGAAATGAAATTGGGTTTAATGTCCTACTGTTCTGCTTCGAACTGGGCTAATGAAGACGGGCCTTACAGTGTGCTATGAGGGAAATTTTGCCCGGACAGTGGCACTACTGCCTACTCTTATATCGAATTCCAACTGTCAAGAAATCTTTTACGTGCACGCCTATGTGTACACAGGACCTCGGTTTTACGACTATCCAAACAACTAGACAGCTGTCCTTGTCAGGACCTCTGTCCTGCATCACTGATAAGGGGGAACCACACTGGAAAATCTGGATGAACTTTCTTGGCCAATGCAGGGATCGAACACCTGACCTCCAGGCTAGCGAGCCAGTGTCTTACCCACCTAGCCAACGTGATCCGCTGCTACACTTAGAAGAATAGTTACAAGTAAGAACCAACCTGTTAATTTCTACTTGATCTATTCTAGTCATCAAACAATTTAAAAATTCTAACTTTACGTGAGAATGATGACAGATTGATTGTAATGTCTGTAATCTATAAAATAAAACAAAACAACATTATATTTGTTGTCAATAAATTTGATTATGATTGAACATTGATATGTTTATTTAACATGTAGATAACAGGAACCCACTATATGTATAACCAATTTGATCACAGTTAAAATACCATTAACTTTATTTATAAAAATGTTGTCTATACACAGAAACATTTATCTCATGTCTATATCAGAATAGATTTCCATTTTTGGTCTCATTTTATCAAAGATGTAATATTTATGGATGGTTTATTTGAGAGGCCTGTTATTAAGTTGGATGGATAGTTAATAATATGATATATAAGGACTGTTTTTATGTTGAATGGATAGTTAATAATATGATATATAAGGACTGTTATTAAGTTGGATGGATAGTTAATAATATGATATATAAAGACTGTTATTAAGTTGGATGGATAGTTAATAATATGATATATAAAGACTGTTTTTATGTTGAATGGATAGTTAATAATATGATATATAAAGACTATTATTATGTTGGATGGATAGTTCATAATATGATATTTAAAGACAGTTTTTATGTTGAATGGATAGTTAATAATATGATATATAAAGACTGTTATTATGTTGGATGGATAGTTCATAATATGATATATAAAGACTGTTTTTATGTTGAATGGATAGTTAATAATATGATATATAAAGACTGTTATTATGTTGGATGGATAGTTAATAATATGATATATAAAGACTGTTTTTATGTTGAATGAATAGTTAATAATATGATATACTAGCAGGATACCCAGCTTGGCTCGGGGGTCATAACTCCGAAACCGGAAGTGGTAGACTAACGCCACCTGGCCTATGTTACTCCCCGGTCCGAGCTACCCCTATACCCCAAATTTCAGACTCGGGCCAGACCTAGTGTAGCCGCCAACCCCGAACAGACCGGCTTCGCTCGGGGGTCATAACTCCAAAATCGGAAGTGGTAGACTAACGCCACCTGGCCTATGTTACTCCCCGGTCCGAGCTACCTCTATACCCCAAATTTCAGACTCGGGGCAGATATAGCCGCCAACCCCGAACAGACAAGACTTCGCTCGGGGGTCATAACTCCGAAACTGGAAGTGGTAGACTAACGCCACCTGGCCTATGCTACTCCCCAGTCCGAGCTACCCCTATACCCCAAATTTCAGACTCGGGCCAGACCTAGTGTAGCCGCCAACCCCGAACAGACCGACAGACAGACCGACAGACAAACGACAGTCACAAATATATATATAGATAAAGACTGTTATTATGTTGGATGGATAGTTCATAATATGATATTTAAAGATTGTTATTACGTTTGATAGATAGTAAATAATATGATATATAAAGACTGTTTTTATGTTGAATGGATAGTTAATAATATGATATATAAAGACTGTTATTATGTTGGATGGATAGTTCATAATATGATATTTAAAGATTGTTACTACGTTTGATAGATAGTAAATAATATGATATATAAAGACTGTTTTTATGTTGAATGGATAGTTAATAATATTATATACTATTCAAAAAAAGTAGGGGATATTTGATTTTTAAGTGTTATTAAAGTCACCTAATGAAACTGACGAAGAAACAAATGACAAAATGAAATGAAGTTCACATTCATCGATTTATTCCAAATGATCGTTAGACTAAGTAATGCACAGACTGACCATTATAAGGGTAAAATGATACCCGGGGTCAAACAGCAAAGTTACCACAGCATCACAACCAAGTCAGTAACGGGTAAATCCTCCTCTGTTTGCCAAACAAGCATTGATCCGACGTGGCATACTCCTAATGAGACGTCTAAGGTCATTTTGGTCCAGATTGTCCCATTCCTGTTGCAACGCAGCAGCAAGTTCTTGGACATTGGCAGGACGTTGTTGATGTTGACGTAACCTCTGTCCAAGCATGTCCCAGACATGCTCGATGGGGGAGAGGTCGGGACTCAGTGCTGGCCAAGGTAATGTGGTGATGATCTGTTGTTGGAGGTAACCTGTAACGATCCTGGCCCTGTGACATCTTGCGTTGTCATCCTGGAAGATGAAACGGTGGCCATGACGTCGTGCGACCGGCACAACATGGACTGCCAAGATGTTGTCCCGGTAGTACTGGCCTGTAACACGCCCTGCAACAACATGTAAAGCCGTTCTTCCAGCAACAGTGATGCCTCCCCACACCATAACAGAACCACCCCCAAATCGATCATGTCTGATGACGTTAACGTCTTGGAAGCGCTCGTTTCGACGACGCCACACCCTCCTACGTCTGTCCAAAAAATCAACAGTGAACCTTGACTCATCTGAAAACATCACATTGCTCCAGCGTCGATTATCCTAGTGTTGACGATCCCTACACCAACGACGTCTTGCCTGAATGTGATGATCTCTCAAACAAGGGATCACGCGAGGACGTCGGGCGCGAAGGTGACCCCTATGCAGTCGATTCCGAATCGTCTGGCCACTCACTCTCACACCAGTGTCTGTTTGAAGACGAGCGCTGATCTGATTTGCTGTGATGACACGATTTCTCAAGGCCAAGGTACGGATAAATCGATCCTGGGCTTGAGTTGTCGCCCTTGGTCGACCTGAGCGTGGTCTGTCCTGTACAGATTGTGTATCACGGTATCTGGACCATAGCCTGCTTATGACAGACTGAGAAACATTCATCGTCCGCGCCACAACCGCCTGTGTTGTGCCGATCTGTAGCATGCCAAGGGCACGTAACCTTTCATTTTGGGTAAGCCGACGCATATTAAAATTTGTTTTCTGGTCACTAAAACAATTAAACTGATGTTTCCACCCTGGAATTCAATGCCACAATGACTGTAACATTCAAAGTCAGAGTCGTGCAAATCTTGGGTTGGACCCCCATGATGATCCCAAGCATCACCTGCATTCCATGCGGTAGCTATTGGTGCGTTTGGGCGTCACATGTAACTGGAAATATTTCTTCTGTTAGGTTCTATAGTGACTTTTTTCGTAGTCATTTGCATATTTTAGTATTATGCCCCCAAAATCAAATATCCCCTACTTTTTTTGAATAGTATATATAAAGACTGTTATTATGGTGGATGGACAGTTCATAATATGATATTTAAAGATTGTTATTACGTTTGATAGATAGTATAAAATAATATGATATATAAAGACTGTTTTTATGTTGAATGGATAGTTAATAATATGATATATAAAGACTGTTATTATGTTGGATGGATAGTTCATAATATGATATTTAAAGATTGTTATTACGTTTGATAGATAGTAAATAATATGATATATAAAGACTGTTTTTATGTTGAATGGATAGTTAATAATATGATATATAAAGACTGTTATTATGTTGGATGGATAGTTCATAATATGATATTTAAAGATTGTTATTACGTTTGATAGATAGTAAATAATATGATATATAAAGACTGTTATTATGTTGGATGGATAGTTCATAATATGATATTTAAAGACTATTATTAAGTTGATGGATTGTTAATAATATGATATATAAAGGCTGTACATACATGAAGATTGATAGTTCATAATATGATATATAAAGACTGTTATTATGTTGGATTGATAGTTAAAAATATGACATATAAAGACTGTTATAATGTTAGATGAATATTTAATTATATGATATATAAAGACTGTGTAATTACCTCATGTATTCTGGTGAATTATTATATCGTAACATGATATATTTAATAAAGTATTGTTGTGTAGGTTTCTCATGATATCTACATAGGTTTAAAATGTCTAATGACGATACATAGTCTGGAACATCCATACCAAATTCACAACATTTATAAGGACTTGTAGCAAAAATACTGAAAAATAAATCCAAAATACTAAAACACAGAGGCTGTGAGGTGATCATAGAATAAATTCTTTTTTAAAAATGATAAAGTATGACTGAAGAGTTATTTTCCAAACTTGATAAATTGGAACCGTCTCTTTTTTTCAGAATAATCTATAAAATAATTCCAAAAGTATGTACCATTTGTAAGTACAAATGAAATATAGTTTTAATTTGATGCACAATATACTTTATTATATGATGCATAAAGAACAAAATATTATTACCTTGAAAAATGACCAAGAAAGGCATCTTTATTTCTGAGTATTCCTGATCTTAAATGATCTAAGGCACTATTGACATCTTGTTTACTGAGATAAAATGTTATGGGATCTCCTTTACCTAACTCTGAAAAACATAATATATAATATACATTTGTGCTGTATATATAAAAAAAAATAAATTTGCTTACAACATATAAGTAGGAAAACGTATATTATATTATAATTAAAACACCCTTAAATTCTGTAGAAAATAAAATGAATACTCAGAAAACAATATATTATCCAGTATATGAGGTCAACTAAAAGCTGCCAATCATTTTTTGAAAGGATTCCGACTCCCTTTTAATTAAAATATTTCCACCTTTTTCATAGAAATAATTACGTCAGTGCACAAGGTCTTTGACATCAATTATTTTATCACTCATTTATCGCGTTTTATTTTTGTTATAAAACAGAAAATATATTGATTTTATCCGACTTCATTTAAAACATTAATTTTTAGTTTGACATTGTTAGGCACCATAGTATTATGAAGAAATAAATTTGAGTCATTAATTACTGAAATATTACCTTGACAACAATGGATTAATGCCAGCCATGTTTCATATAAAATACCATCCTGATTCATCAAAAACTTTCGGATATCTTTGGTTGATAAAAAACAAAAATAACATTCAACAAACTGGGCCAATTCTTTGTCTAAATGTTCTAGATCACTAACATTAAGACTTGATGCAGTATCATTCTTTGATTGTTCACCTAAAGACTGGTCATCGTGTATACTGCTCATAGCATTTGACTCCTTTTCTTGACATATTGTACAAGTGTCACTGATATCACAATGTCTGCATGTTGAATTTTCTACATTAGCAATGACATGGTTACTATCTACATTACTATCACAACTCTTATTTGGAAGTTTATCATTTTCTACACTGTTATCACAACTTCTTACAGGATTCTTATTAAATAGTTTGCCATCATTGCTAGTAATACTGTTGGTTTGTTTGATACTATCTAAATCACAAATATTCTCATCACCATTGTCAATATCACAGTTATTTATTTCACTATAAAAACTTGATTTCTGTTCATTATCTACACTAACGATATCAATCTCATTATCTACACTACTGATATCAATCTTATTATCTACACTACCGATATCAATCTCATTATCTACACTACCGATATCAATCTTATTATCTACATTATCACAATCAATGTTTTTACTATCCTTCCAATTATCACAATCTTTAGAATTAGGACGAATAAATTTGGATATGTTACCATGGATACAACTTTGGAAACACAACAATGTTAGTTCAGAAACCTGAGTGAAAAGTTCGGAATCTAAATTAAAAGGATCTGATATGTTATATTGGGTCTGACATTTTGGACTCCCTGAGCAGTCGCAATTATCAGAGCTGCTATGTAACTGATTATCTATTTTTCTATCTTTGGTATTACCAGATGAGCTTTCTATTGTTTGATGCTTAGTTTTATCTACCTCTTTATCGGTTTTATTCAACCACATTTCTAATTTTTCTAAAGTTCTAGAATTATCTACATTCTCTTCCAAATCTACATCCGACTCGGAATTTTCTACAAATATTTCAGAATTATCTTCATTTGTAACTGAGTTATCTTCAAGTGATTCAGAAAACCTGGCATGGATTTCATTCTCCTCACTGTTTTCCTCATTTATCTCCAAATCTGATCCATTTCCTTCGTCCTCACTGCTTGTCTGATGTTCATTAGAATCCATATTTTCAGGAACTCTCACAGTTTTCTCACTCTCTTCAATATTTTCCGTTTGCTCTGAGGTTCCATTTTCTTTTCTTGCTTTCAAATCTAATTCATTGTGTAATCTTTGTAGGGTGGAATTTAAGGTTGTAACCCAGGCCTCTAAAGTTTTCTTTAATTCTCTCGGATTCAGTATGACTTCCACATCTTTTAGTTTGGCATTAGTTCTGGTTGTCATGGTTTCCAGTTCTGATATATCAGTTGTAGGTTGTTTTTTCACATCTGCTAGTTTTTCTGTCGCTGCTGTTATTTTCTTGGCTTCCACTATTTTTTCTATGGAACTGCTTATCTCCTGAAGATAAAATTTATCAAGATATTTTATTTTATCAAAGTATGCTAGATTCTAAATTTAAATATCAACAACGAAAACACTGTTTACATTCAACATGGAGATCAAAAATATCCAATCTACTAGCAAGTGGCAAAGAAGAAGTTTCAAAACTCATTTAACAAAGATTCTTCATGTTTGTTGAGATGACAAAGGAAAGACTAATTTCAATACACATTTTCATTCTCTTGCATAAAATACACAGTAGTATTGTAATCAGTGGTATAACTAAACATCATACTTCATACCCCGGAACATTACAATAATTAGATGTACATGAAGTTGATAATAGAACAATAATGTCATTATCTGTTATATATGTTGTTGCTTAATTATTAGTTAGCTTACAAAACATGGTTCATTTTCTACAAGAGTCAGTTTAATTCTGTCATGCATTAACTAATCTGAGGTTATGTTGTACAAAAAAGTACATGGTATTGAATATTAAATGAAATGAAAAGGGGTCTAACTTCCTATTTTTCTGCTCCATCCAGGCTAACAATTATGGGCATACCTTACAGTAGCGCTACGGCCTACTCTTAGTTCGAATTTCCAGCTGTCAAGGGTTCATTACATACACGCCAATGTGTACACGGAACCTCGTTTTTTGGGCCATCTAAATGACTAGACATTGTCCTTGTCGGCTGTCCATCCACACCACTGACAGGGGAAATCACGCGGAAAACCCAGAGGAACAGGTTTCTGAGCCAGCGCTTTACTCACTGAGCCAGTGCTTTACTCACTGAGCCACCGCGGCTCGGAATATTAAATCACAGGACAGCATACTCTTCTATATTTAATGTGCTAAAATCAAACAATTACTAAAAGCATACAAATATCTTTTAACAAAATTTGGCATCCATGTGCACATAAACGACTATAGAAAGATACAATGAATATTTACCTCAGTTTCCACGACAACATTATGTAGGTTTTGATCAAAGACATTTGGTGATTTAGACAAGGAGCTTTTATCTTTCATAATCTTAATAAATGTTTTACCTTTCTTTATTTTCATTGCTAAACTGCAAATCAAACAAATAAATGACTATAAATAAAAACCATTTAAAGTTTATTTGGCACAAGAAAACTGTCGGAATACCTTATCTCAATAAGAGAAATGAGGTTTAAAAAATCCTACGTTTCTGCACCAACAGGAATATCCATGCTAGTTATTAGGAGGGAAATTTTGCCTGAATTAGGGTTATTTTACTTAATGCCAATGTGTACACTGAACCTACAATTTTTTGTCCCATCTGAATGACTAGATGCCATTTCTTGTCAGGCGTACGTCCTGTGCCTCTGTCCTTAGGAAATCCTTCTGCCAACATTGGATAAAACCTGGGACATCCTGATTAGCAAAGAAGCACCTTACCCATGATGTCACATGACTCCCCAATCCCAATAAATAACTTATAAAATGTGTTATATATCAATATATAAGAATGATTCTGAATTCATGTATCCCATATTCCGCAGAAGTGATTACATTGCCGCTGTCCGGGCAAATTTAGCTCAGATGTACTTGCCATTTGATGAACAATCCAGTGTTGACAAGAAGTCCAATAATTATATATATATACATTACATATTCTACAGTAACTATACATACCTATCTTTGACAGCTGATAAAGATACTCTAGGGGACTGTGACAACCCTCCAACAGGACTATTACTAGACCGCTTTGATGGACTTTCATTTGGTGAGGATTCTCTACCAAACGTCTGAATCAATTCGTCTGAATTAGAAGTTAATCCACTGAGAGATAATCTCTTAATCAAGGGCGGAACAATTTCAACTTCTCTTGGAGCAGAAGACAATTCCTCAGTACTTTTTACAGATATGTTGTCAGCTTCTAATGTCTTCTCTTCATTTGTAATATCTTCTATACTGCCAAGAGAAACCGTGTCTCTTTCTTTTATTTTTAGTTTACCTTGACTTCTGCTATTGTCATCTATTACAGGTATGCTCATCGATCTATTGGTTTTAAATTCTGTAGTTAACAAAAGGTAAACATACAAACTATATACAAATTATGGAAACTAAGGCCATACAAACAATTTGATGCTGGAAAGAGTTACTTTTAGTTTGAGGGTTTGTATTTTGTCACTGGATCCCTGGACAAAATGACTTATTATAAAAATACACATTTCAAGTCAAAACGGGGGAAGAGAGAAAATGGGGTTTAACGTCCACTCGACACAAACTAGGTCATTTCGGGACTAACATATGGTTTAATTTTATTTCAATAGCTCAATCGGAGAAAACCCACGAGATTGGACAGGCGACACTACTCCTAGTCAAGTACAACCAGGGATTCGAAACCACGCCAGTTGACTCAATGACAGGTCTTATGATACAGCGCGCACATGCTAACCATTCGGCCATCCAAAACCTATTCTATATCTTATTATGCTTTTCATAGGAATGTATGATTAAAAACCCCACACATGGTCAGGCAGGTCACACTACTGTCACATACATGCCTGGTATTGAATCAATGACTGGCATATATCGTCACATTTTATCTGATATTTTTAAGTATTGGGAAAAATGTGTTCGAAATTTGCATTCTGTTGTTATCTCTGAGGCCATCAAATAATTTATGTAAATGGCGTTCCATGTCCTGATCTATATGTATGAAATATTAAATCACAAATAAATGTTATTATTTGATGGCCACGCAAGATACAGCAACATTTTGCAAGAGATGGACAGAGAATGAGCTAAAAAAGTAATGTGATTTTTTGTACAAGCAGGGGCCATAATCCAGGAAGTTATGGTCCAATATGTGCCAATATCGAAAGGAACCGAGATCTTTGGGTTATAAATATACATTTCAAGTTTCATTAAAATCGGATCAAAATTGTGACTTCTCTCTAGAGGGTCCACAACCTAGATATACCATACCTTTACACTATTTGCATATAACGAGCGGCCATTTTGTAGGGAAATTCAAACTCGATCATCATGGTGTAACGGTGATATATTTGAACGTTTTTTTTTTAAATCAGATAAAAATTGTGACCTTTAGGGGGACCATGCAATTTTTCGTACAATCAGGGGCCATAATCCAGGAAGTTGTGATCCGATAAGCGCAAATATTGAATGGAACTGAGATCTTTGGTTTATAAACATACATTTCATGTTTCATCTAAATCGGATAAAAATTGTGACCTCTAGAGTGTGCAAAAGCTAAAAATGTTATTGTTCATACAATCAGGAGCAATAATCCATGAAGTTTTGATCCGATACATGCTAATATCGAAAGGAACCAAGGTCTTTCGGAGATAAACCTATATTTCAAGTTTCGTCAAAATTGGATAAGAATTGTAACCTGTAGAGTGTCCGAAAACAAATTGTGGACATACGTCCAGACGGACGGATGGACAGGGGCGCTGACATTTTACGTCCACATGAAAATGCCAGGTATAAAAATATCAGATTCAATGGTTTGCGAGAACAGTGATGATATATGAGTCTTTAGATATCAGTCTATTAATGGAAAGATTCTATATGGAATGTAACTTTAGGGTTTTATCCAAAGATTATAAAAATTATCTCAACTTTACCTTTCTTTCTCAGTCTGGATTTAGAACTGCCTGAATAAAAATGGATTTTGAATATTAGGTGAAAAATATTTTGTCCACAGCAAACGAGTGAAACATTAATTATCAATTATCGCATGAAACGCTTGCCAAATAAAATTGGACTGGATTTTTCAGAACTATTAATCGTGTATGTTTTGTTTTATTTAAAAAAAATACAAATTTATTTTATGGTGTAGTATTGGTTTGTTTTTGTGTTTTGAATTACATATATATGGGGGCACTGTAATCTTTTCAATGCAAAAGGCTTCAAAGGCCTTAATCCGACCTGGGAGTTGATACATACAATACATTGTTTTATCTACTCTAAATAAAAAAAACCAAATTAATGACGTACCTGTATTTTGTGGTTGTGTTAAATCTATTTCCATGACTTTTCGTCGTCTAATATTTTTTCTCATTGGTTGATCAACTGCTTGTAAAATTGGCTGTGGATCTGTGGCTAAAATATAGAATTGTACACAAGGATCGAATTAGAGATCATTTTTTTATAAAGTAGTTTTCAGTATAATGTTGTAGGAGTCCTGCAACTCATGGTTGCTTGATTGTATATGACTAACATGGTCATACGGGTTTCTCTGGGTTCCTGATGAGTACAAGTAAATTATTGAAAAATAGATATGGAAGAGTTTCCCTTGGTAAATAGGCTATTGTATTTAGGAATTAACATTACCTTGTAAATACTTTCGAAGCCTAACTCAATGAAGCTACTCCTTGTGCTTGTTTATTATAAATAGGGTCCTAATAGAAATAACCGCTTCCTTAAGATCTAGCTTACGTTTTTGTTCTTTATAAAAAAAAAAAAATCCTTACCTTTTTTAGCAACAGACGGATATTTAGATATTCCAATGTCTGTCTGCTGTAAAGCAAGATGTTCATTAGTAGCTCCCTGCCCTCCCTTAGATTCTTCATCTTTACTTTTTGTCAATACAGATTCCGTCTGCTCTACTGTAGTTCTACTATCACCAGCACTGTTCAGATGATCTGTGGCTTGTTTTTGTTCAGATGGTAAAATATCAGCTGATATGATTTTAACCACATTAGTCTCATTTACGGTTTCAGTAACTTTTCTGTTGTCCACTGAAGTTTCAATTGTTTTGTGGAAATCTTCCTGTCCATGTTTAATACTTGTTTCCGAGTTATTATTGTGAACAAATGATTCAGTATTTAGAGTAATATCTTCTCTAGTTACCTGGGGTTTATTTCTACTTTCAGTATCTAAATCATCTTCAGGTTTTTCAACATCTAATTCACTTTGAATATTTTGAATAGTATCACCAATGTTTTCAAGTACCAATTTATTTAAATCATGTTCCTTAATTTGTGGCTTTTTATCATCTTTATCTGGTGCAGTAGCTGAATGTTCACTACTTTGACTATGAAGATTTGTGTTTCTATCAGAGTTGACATTCTGGACATCTTTTATTTGATCCGAAGACTTGTTAACGCCACTTACACTGGGAGTATTTGATGCCTTTTGTATATATCCTTTTTGAGAAATAGAATTATCAGTGCTTTGATTATTCAACAGTTTATCTTTGATTTGAGTATTAGAGTTAACGCCTTTATCTTGCTGTTCCTTAACAATTGCTCCAGACGATACCATCAAGGCTTCAGTTACTATTTCAGATTTGCTGGATTTGTCCAATTTATTGACGTCCATTGATGTTACATGTAAGTCACTGTTTACAGCTGCATCCAATGATGAGATACTGCTTGTTTCACTAATTGACTGATTAGCATCATTTGTTTCACTTAATTTGTCCTGATTCGGAATAGACGGAGAATTCATCATTAGTTCCTGCAAATCCACCAAACTGGCAACCAATGTTGTATCATCAAACTTTTTCACACTTTCTATTATATTTTGCAAAGTTTTTAAAGGTAGGTTTTTCGATATATATTCAAGATTATTTTGCTTAAAATTTATTAGAACCAATCCGGCCAAAAGTGAGTGTCTTCTGCTAACTAACTGAGAGATACAAGTTTCTAACTTTAACAAATGAAGATGGGTAATATTTTGATTTTGATGAAATATGTAGATTTCATTACCATACACAGAAACATCCTCTATATCTGTAATGTAAGAAAGCAGAAAATACAAAATAATGGGAATATTTCTGCTAAAAATCAGACCTCTATAAAATCAGAACACCATAATACACAATATCTTAGCATCATAACATAACTTAACAGTGATAGTATTTATCTTCAATATCTAAGCATCATAATATAACTCTAACATTGATAGTATCAACATGACCATACATTTAATACCTGAACACCATAATATAACTTCAACTTTTCCATAATAAATATAAGTGAATCATAATACAACTAATCTTAAATATCCTAGCACCTTAATATATAACTTTAACATTGATAGTATTACTTTACCTTTAATATCTGAGCACCATAATATAACTTTAACATTGATAGTATCAAATATATATAAACCTGTAGAACACCATGTTAATATATACTGACTGAAAATAAAATAACACAATTCTATCATTGTTTCTAACTTTGTACAAAATGTAAATAATCAAAAAAAACTGGACACTTGGAATCTAGTTTAAAGGGACAATAACACTCTTGCTAGCTTGAGAGCCCCAGAAAATAAAAAATAGCCTAATTCTAAGTACTAGATGTGTTCGTGTCCTACCTGTTGTGTAAATTATCCATTAAATACTATTTACTTGTTCAAAGGGTTCAAAAATATTTTTAAATCCAAGTCACATTTGAAAAGCTTTACGTCAGGCTTTTCAAATCATTTAGTTGATTTTTTCCAATTTTTTAAATTAGGTGTGTTAACATGAAATTTGTATCATAAATTAATTGGAATATTGTAAATTAGTACAATTTGTTGACTAGAATGAAGATTGGGACATATTATTCAGTTACAACAAGAGTGATATTGGGTCTTTAAAGCCATTAGCATTTGAATATTTTAAATTTGAAGAGAGTACAAAATTATTTCAAGCTATTGTTAGCTGGTTTGGGAGACGATCCATCCAAAGTCACAGAAAGCACGTTTAATTAAGTAATAGGGCGAATCATATCTCAAATGAAGGTATGAGTACTATGGGACCAAGAATATTTTTTTTTATTGATCAAAACTACATGATTCTTAAGAGCTAGTGTTTGCATACTTGTTAAATTAAAGTTACAACATATATTTCTTAATCAATGTTGAGCTACATCTGCTCAGACACAGGTTTCAAAATGTCAACAATATGCATTCAAATTGAAGCTGTCTCTATAGTTTGTTTGTATAATAGAAAGACTACATATATAATATCATAAATTATTTATAAACATATATCTGAAAACTGACTTACCTAAGTCTGTACATCTTTTTTAAATTAACTGACTGATGAATGACTGAGTCTACTGAAATTTCTACTTTACTAAAATGACATAAATCATTACCGACTTACAGTTCTGACAACATTTCAATATCGATGATAATGAATATTTTAAGATTAAGAAAATGATTTGAAAAAATAGTTCCGAAAAATACTACTATTTTGGGAGTCTTTACACCCGCCTTCAATGGCCATATTTAATTGCCTACATGTAATCTTTATTCTCTCATAAATATACCACTGATAAATGCATTGCTGTGGAATCCTATGTTTTATTTCCATTATAATATAAGTAAATATTCCTATTCTCACACTAGAGGGGCTAAGAACACTGTCCAGGGTATTAATGTATCATAACTTTTACCTATAGTTTATAAGAGGTGTTGATGGAACAGCTAATAGTTGTTTAAACTGATGAGTATTTAAAACATGACCTTCTATATCAACCTATATATTAAATATAGTCAACAGATTTAATAGTATAAAGAAACAATCATTTTCTCTCTGATTTACAATTTTCAAAATGCAAGAGAATTAGGGTAGAAATAGGCTTTTATAAAATAAACTGCTTTGGAAGTTTGATTATCAAGTCGTTGGAGCCCAGATAGGAAAATCTAATGAATTTCAAAATATAAACTGCATTAGAAGTTTTGATTACAAAGTAATTGGGGCAAAAATAGGGGAAACTAATGACTTTTATAAAATAAACCGTGTTTAAAGTTCTTATTACAAAGTAATTGCGGCATAGATAGGGAAATCTTATGACTTCCATAAAATAAACTGTGTTGAAGCTTTGGTTATCAAGTCAGGGGGAATCTAATGACTGTCATCAAATAAACTGGGTTGAAATATTAGATTATCATGTGCTGCTCATAGGCAAATCTAATGGATTTCGCTGCCAACCTTGTATACTAGAGAAGCTCAAAGAATATTGATATAAATTTAATGTCATTACCTCCCACATTCTAGAACCTGGCCTAGAACAATATAAAACAGGAATTCTAGAAAATGGTTCCACAAAAAAACATGCACCAAACTCTCCTTCTCTGAAAATACACCAAATAAAAAGCTGGATTTTAATACATATCTATTTATAGCTCACAAGATATCAAGTATTTAGCAACAGATATATTTTTCTATGTAGTTTGAATATATTTTTCTATGTAGGTTGAATATACTTTTGAATATATTTTTCTATGTGAACTTTACCTTAATTTCTTTCCTATCTGTGAATACTGGTGTCTGTAAAATAAACAACATATAAAATATTTACATTCATATATTTTCCTAGAGGTGAAGAAAGTAGAAGATGATCTGTGCTGGAGTAAATGTTCTGTGAATGTTCTTTTTGTGGTTTTATGCATGTAAAATTGTAAGAGCATGTCCAAAATGTCTATGAATAAAGAATTTGAATACAGTCATATCTCAAATTTTATTTAACCATGTGATACATTTATCTAGAAGCAGTCAGAATTAATGTATATACGTACAAATATCCAGTGTATGTTCTACTTAAATTTTCGAAAAATCTGTTACCCAGTGTATAAGTTATAAGTTCATTTCTATTATTAATAAAAGGAATTTTCTTTCAAAATAAAATGAAGAATGACATATAATGTCACTCCACACATTAATTGTTATTGCACACTAATTTTGAAAAAACAAAAGAAAACCATTCATGCCACAACACCTTTAACACCAGTGCCATATTATTATTAGTATCACCCAGTGCCATATCTTTATTAGTATCACCCAGTGCCATATCTTTATTAGTATCACCCAGTGCCATATCATTATTAGTATTACCCAGTGCCATAATTAATAATTTTTATCATTTGCTCGATAACGTCTATAGACATACACAGAGAAATGGGTTTAACGTCCACCCGACACAAACTTGGACATTTCGAGACTAACATATGGTTCAATTTTATTTCAATAATTTCTTGCCCATATATGGGTATTAAGCAGTGGGATGAAACCGATGAATCCAGAGTAATCCCACAAGGTTGGACAATGGACAGGTGACCCTACTCCTTGTCGCGTACAACCGGGGAACGTTTATAGAACCCTCAACGAATTGTCGCTTTAATTAAAATAGTGTTCCATTTCATATAGTAAGTGCAGGAGGACTGCACTACACACAAAACAAAAATCTACAAGATAAACCTGCGCACAAGACAGAAAATAGACATTGCACCAAATAAACAAATATCAAATCGTGTTATTATTTAATACTTTTCAAATGGATCAGGAAATATTCATTAGTCAAAATAATTCATTCACAAATTACGACCACCATAACCAATTTATTAATCATAAATAAATGTATTCTTGAAATTGATAACTGACATGTGTATGGTGTATCACTGTGTAAAACGTACCTATTTGTATCAAAACCTACCTATTTGTAGCAAATCTGGGAATATTTTGTGCTGTCCAACTACTGGAAGTTACATTATGTAAAATGTATGATGGACAATGTAGCACAAAAAGACAAATAATATATTCAGATGTTGATGATACATAAATACATGTGATTTTATGTTTCTTCAACGTAATATTAACTCTAAAATAAACCATATTGAAAAAAAGCGGTTTAAAAACAAGGTTGCAACAACAAATGCAATAACTCTGCATAGAATTGATGCGGGATTCTGAATATTCAAGCAAATTTGGTAAAATAGGTCACATCCTCTGACCCGAAGAGTGATTATTATACGATTTTGATTGTCATGGGCAATAACTCTGCAAATAAATGATTCAGGACTCTGAATTTTGATAAGGTTTATCTTTATGACTAAGAGAACCTACAGAGAATTTGAAAAATAAATCTTAAAAACTGTAGATTAATTACAAGGTTTTAAACACAGTGGAATAATTGATGTGCAACCCTGAATTTCGATAAAGTTCATGTCTATGTCTAGTTGAAGTAAGTTTAAAAACAAACTCTCAGAAAATCTGACCTGTGGAGCATTACAAGCAGTTTGATGGACATCATGGGTAACAGCAATATACTACCACATTAAAATTAATTTCAATATAATTCATGTCTACGATTAGTTTAAGCTTTAAGAAAGTCTGACCCTGTAGAGAGAGAGAGAGAGAGAGAAATGGGGTTTAACGTCCACTCGACACAAACTAGGTCATTTCGGGACTAACATATGGTTTAATTTTCTTTAAATAATTTGCTTGCGCGTAGGGTTCTTTAGCAGTGGGAGGAAACCGGAGGACCCGGAGAAAACCCACGAGGTTGGACAGGCAACCCTACTGACCCTGTAGAGCAATTGCAAGAAATCTGATAAATGGTAATATACTACCACATTGATTTGTGGGCATATAAATATGGATGAATTTATAATTACCTGATAGTACTGAATAAATAACATCTTGTCATTGTTGAAACTAATAATTTATCCTCCATAAAGTCAACTTGTACAACAGCAGAATCTAATCTAGCTATTACCTCTGATGGTAGATTAAACAACACACTAGCCTGTATTATATTTATTACATGCTACTTTAGTATTAATGATTGCTTGTCAAGTGTAAAATTGTTTTATTTGATGAATGTTACAATTACCAATAATATACAGATTAGTATCCGGTACTAGTATAAACGTGTTAAAGACATTATTTGTTATGTTTGGATAGGAAAGGAATCGGGTTAACATATCGTCAACAAATTACATCAGTGATTCTATACCAGTGTGCCGAAATTTTGAACGGCACACGAGGAAATGTGAAAAACCATGTGATCCCAAATTCAGCATTCACTTGTGTCTACTGGTAAGTTCATAGCTGTGTTTTACTTTATTTAGTTTGATTCATTCTATGTGTCTTTGACTAGTCTCTGTCTACGGTTGTTTGTCTATGACTTGCCATGTTTTTTTTGCAAAATTCAAATATTTTTCATATATATTTAACCAGGTGTGCCACTATATTTTCATGTGTTTCAAGGTGTGCCGTTGGCAAAAAAAGGTTGATAACCACTGCATGACATGTACCTCTGTCATTTTCAGACTAACATATGGTATACCTTTTATTTTTATGGTTAAATGTGATATACAAGAATTTTATGATGGGATCTTTTACGTTCACTACCCATTTGCAAATGGGATCTTGTTTTTTAAGGGAGCCGTGTAAGACGTTAGCTTGCTAACCAGGACGTCTTGTGTTCGCTCCCTGTGTTGACTGAGAATGTTCTTCTGGATTTTTCGAT